CATGTATGGCACCTCTTAAGGTTCTAGAACCGAAATTGGTTCCATATAGAACCCTATATGGAACCCAAGGGTTCTATATGGAACCAATTTTGGTTCAGGGAAGAATAACCCCTGGGGTTCTGATCAAAGAACCCCACAAAAGGGTTCAATATATAACTTTTAGGGGTAACATATATGAAGCAAGCAATATAACCCTTTTTGGTTCTATCCAGAACCTTTTTTTCTAAGAGTGTATGGTTACTAGCGGAATACAGTGTATAGTAGTAGTAGGGATAGAGTTGTTTCCTTCACAACATGTTACAATGTAACCAACAGGAGGCGACCCTGATCCCTAGGAGGAGGAAACATTCAATAACAGAAGTTAACAGAGCAGAGAAGAGGCCGTTAAGTTGACACTCCATCTAACCTACTGTATCGCATACACTGAGTGGACAAAACATTAAGAACACCTGCTCTTTCCATGACATAGACTGCCCGGGTGAATCCAGGTGAAAGCTATGATCCCTTATTGATGTCACTTGTTAAATCCACTTAACTTGTTTAAGCCTTGAGACAACTGAGACATGGATGATGTATGTTTGCCATTCAGAGGGTGAATGGGCAAGACAAAAGATTTAAGTGCCTTTGAACGGGGTGTGGTAGTAGGTGCCAGGCGCACCGGTTTGTGACAAGAACTGCAACGCTGCTGGGGTTTTCACGCTCAACAATTTCCCGTGTGTATCAAGAATGGTCCACCACCCAAAGAACATCCAGCCAACTTGACACAACTGTGGGAAGCATTGGAGTCATTGCACCGAAGATTTGCGACTGGTCTGAGGGCAAAAGAGGGTTGCAACTCAATAATTTAGGAAGGTGTTCCTAATGTTTTGTATACTCAGTGTAAATCGCATGCAAAACCAATGAATAGATAGGCCTACTGTTACCAATATAATTTGATTATCTGCATCTATAATAATATTTGACTAATATTTGAGTTCTGCAACACAGAGCGCTGTGTAGGCACGTGCTTTAGCGTATTACCACATCGCTGAGTGATCCATGCGCGTGGCGCACGACTTCTGTCAATAGAAAGACAGTTTTCTAAAAACTATAACTCTAATCAAGTTTCCTATTCAGTTCTCCAGCTGTCATGATGATCTCCCGGTAGATAACCCCGTGACTTCAGGAGGACCGGCGGAGAGCGCAGTCTTAATGTGAATTTTCTCTCTTTCCTGGTTGGATGAGTACGTGATGATTTCTCCGCACTGGTGCATTCCGGTGTATGCGCCGCATGCTGTGCGGTCCCAGAGATCCTCTCTGCTCTGTGATGTGAACTGTCAGAGTACTTGGCAGGCTACAATAGACATATGCGTCCTTGTTTTGGTAACTACGTCTTCAATCGTTTCATAGTAGTTTAGTAACTACACGTCCACCTCTAGTAATGAACCAGTTTACCTACTGTGTGTTGTGGCCTATGTTTAGTTGTGTTATAAGATATTTGAGAGGCTAGTGGATTGTATTCATACTGAAATGAAAAACAATCAGGCCTGTGGCCTGAAGACACTAAGCTTGACATTTACATCAAGAACATTTTAAGAGGAAAGAGAGAGAAATTAGGGTCTTCTTAGTGAAAAACAACCATCCTGGGCTTGGCCCGGGACAGGATGAGAGAGAGAGAGAGTAGGTGGTGGAGATGTGGGGGCTTCTAAACCACAACAGTAACCTACCACCTTCCTGTCAACCTGCTACAGACACAGAGCTAGAGAGAGAGAGAGAGGAGAGGAGAGAGGACGAGAGAGAGGAGAGTAGAGAGAGAGAGAAGAGAGAGAGAGAGAGAGAGGAGAAGGGGGGGGAGAGAGCCTCTCTTTTTCACGGGGAGAGAAGAGAGAGATGGGAGATAAGAGATATAGATGAGAGAGCATAGATAGATAGAGAGAGAGAGAGAGAGAGAGAGACATACACAGGGACCCTGTAGACATCTCTGTCTGTCAGCCATTACTGTGGATGTGGGGATTTCAAGCTGCAAAAAAAAGGTAACGTATTTTTTAAGGATTTATTCACTGAAATGATTTTGTCCAGCATTAGCATCAAAGAAACATCAGCAAGGCAGGTGTTTAGGATCTCAGGTTAATACATTTAGGCCTAAGAAGTGAATACCTCACATGTCATATAAAGTCATCATAATGCAAAGCAGTCCCAGCATTATCTATCTATAGCTATTATTGGCAGATATCTGTTGATAATTGGTGAATGTTTGTTAGTAATAATAAATTGTCATTCAGTAGTTGTTGTTTTTTTACATCAGAAACAAATGTATCCTACTCTTTCTAAAGGACAAGTGAAGGCTTATGCAATTGCTCAATAAAATTTTTTATTGACCAAAATAGTAAAAAATAACAATTGTTATTTTAAGTTTTCGTTTGTTAGGATTACAATCAAAAGTCTGGTATCGTTTCCACTAGCCATTTGTCAAAGTAATGTTACATACAGAGATATGAAACTGAATACGAAAACCACACATCTGCAAACATGTCACTACAACATAAATGGAACCGGGTAAAAAAAAAAAAAAACATCTGCAGATCAACGACAAAGAAAAAATGGCACCTGAGCGCTTAGACCTACTAAAACCAACAGGCCTACTACACACACATGCCCAAATAGACTTGACTAAAGATCACAATCTCTCTTTAATTGAGGTCTATCCTGTCAAAGAGAACAGGGTTGACCTGTACCTCTCCTCTCATTTGATTATTAACCCAAAGCGGTTGGTTGTTCATTAGTTCCGTCTGCCCAACGTGCTTGTCTAGTTGTGTCTGTAGGTCTAAAGACAGAACAGTGTCGCTATGATCCAGGCCCTCTCTCTCTCTCTCCTGACTGATGGGTTTCCTATTGTACCTTTATTGATCAATGCACTTCAGGTAACCGACTGTTGTTTTATACAAATATTCACAGTCTTAATTGTAGTCAGAGGCGTAAACATTTTATAGAAATCGGAATTTCAAAAATGTAGGCTAGATTTTCTCAATGGGGTTAAAAAGTTACCTCCATGCATAAACCTATAGATTCACTAATTTCAACATATGTTGTTACAATGATCGTCTGTTTTTACTATATAACAATTGCATTAGTCTACTAAAGACAGATAGCCCTAGTCCATTACATTCATGAAATGTTGAAAAGAAGGCCAGACCTGTGAGCAGTGAACACCACTCATTTACTCAGTCGTGTCTGTCAAGCACCAACAGGCGTCGCTGCAGACCTGCATTCTGCTCAACGCCATTCGCGTGCTCTGTGGCTGCAACTGCAGTTTACTGTGGTGGTCATCGTTGTCCTATTGTAGCCTACGGGTTGTATTGAGGGGTACAGCAACAAGTTACACATGCAGTGGGCCCCTCGTTCAATTGATACAAAATAAATAAATAACTAAAACATTTTTTGCAAATTAATTGATGAGAAATGATTAGCCTATCACTATTTCCCTGTTCGATGTATAATGTATATTTGATCTACATAATCATTGCAGCATTATTTTCTGCATGCTGTGTTTGGAATATCTCAAAGCCATTTATTGTCTAACCTTTTCGCCGTTTTACTGAAACTCTTTCTATCAGTCTATTATTGAATAATCATCAAATGACTGAGAATTCATTTAAAGACAAATCAGACCACCTGCATCACGGCATGTGTATGGTGTAAATAGATAATTAAGCTTATCGGATCCATTATGTGGAAATGGTTCGATAAATAGATCTACACTGTGGTCCTCTGTAGCTCAATTGGTAGTGCATGGCGCTTGTAACGCCAGGGTAGTGGGTTCGATCCCCGGGACCACCCAAACGTAAAAATGTATGCACACATGACAGTAAGTCGCTTTGGATAAAAGCCTCTGCTAAATGGCATATTATTACACTAGGCCTATATCAAAGACAGATTTTCGATACTGACTTAATTAAAACACATTTGTCTTATCATGAAATGTGAAAATGATTATTTGTGGCTAGGGAGAGCCGCGTCGTGGACTCATTTAAGTTTTCAATTAATGCCAGCTTTTTGTGTATTAGAAAATGATGTGGTTCTGTCTAAAACTAAACTAAATAAGTCCAAACATAAAACTCGGCTTGTCTCATTTTGGAAGTAGGTGATAGCCTGTAGATGATAGCCTAATTATTATCTATAGCCTGGCAATTATATGTTATTAACGGTGTCGTTTTTTTTGTTGTTGTAGAAAATAAAATCTATTGGAAAGGATCTTAGACTTTAATTTAAATAGACCAGCATATAATATTTCTTAAAATGGTCATCATTTAAATAGATAGAGACTATTCGGTGTTGATAGAACGTTATGGTCGCAATAACCTACTGTTTGGTATTACCAAAAGACTATAAAGGCTTGTGGTGGAGGTGTCTGAGGTTTACAGTTATTTATGTTGACTCTCACATGTTATTCAGAAGTCCTTGTGTTTAGCGGGTTATTCTAGTATATTCTGAAGAAAAAACAACTATTATCAAAACATTAAAAACAGCAGAGTAACGGTTTTCTTGGCATTCCAGTACTCCGCTGGTGTTTGGGAAGTTTTGTTCGAGCTTTACATCTCAAATACATAACCTTTACCACAATTAAATAAAACGATTTATTGTGGTGGCTCATACATGTGCCCTCTATTTACGCAATACGCATGGTTTCTAAACTTCTCATAACCAGTCTTATTAAATCACGTTTTAACCTAAAAGCGTCCATTGGTTTGAAAATGGATCATGTTTTCCTCTTGCTATTTCTGTGTCTCCCAAAAGAAAATGTAACCATAAAAAATAAAATAAAATAAAAAGGTATATGCTAGCTGTATGTGAGGTGTCAGATGCAGGTTGCAGTGAGCTGATCCCCGTCCCTATAGTTGCTATCCAAACACAAATAAACAGAGAACAACATTGGAGGCGTGGCGGAGGGCGGGCGGAGCGCGCGGAGTGCCCGGAGCCCTAAAAAGTGAAGGACCAGTCCTCTTCAAGCCACTACAGCCCAACTCCGAACCGAGCAGAAACAGAGCAGAGCACGGGACTCCTGCTCCTGGCTTCCCTTGAACTCTATAGCGATCGTAACTTTTTTCCGACCACTTCTTTGCCACTCTGAGCAAAGTCTACGCGTCCCAACAGATCTGGGTCTGCGAGGTATGGCGATGAGACTTACATGGACGAAGTTGGAAAACTTTTGCTGACGTTAAAGTGGAGTTGGTCGCCTCGCTAAAGGCATTGTGGATTACTGAAACACAGCAGAACTAACTGCGGGGTGACCTTTGGCGTCTGTTTATTGGGGGTAAGATTATGTTTCCATGATAGTTGCTCTTTAATAGATTACATTACACTTGTGTTGAAACAGGTAGTGATAGTTCACGGCAATGAGACCCTGAGGAGCCTACTAATTGAAGGTTCAAACGAGTCCATGCTGTCAGAATATACATATTTGACAGTGTAAAGTTACATGTCAAAATACTTAGACTACTGTCAAAGTGAAAATATAGAATAGCATATCCCAGGGATCATCAACTAGATTCAGCCGCGGACCGATTTGTTCTTCAGCGGATGGTCAGGGGCCGGAACATAATTACGAATAATTTGTAGACTGCAAATTGACTGCAATGAGCCCAAACAGATATCATATTTGACTAAAACGTAATCATTTAAAACCTTTCTTACGTTTGTATAAGGTCACATATATATTTATATTACGCGTGGGAATAATTTGGAACAGATTTCCTCAATTTAAATCACTTGGAGCTGATTTGCTGTTAAAAAAAAAAAGTATTTTATGTCCAACAATAAAAAATAAAAAAGTAAATAAATAAATACATTGGTGGGCCAAATAAAATCACAGGACCGCCAGTTGGGGAACCCTGGCCTATAAGACACAACATCTATTGCTTGTCATTAAACTATTACGCAAAGGCTATAGGTTATTGTAAAACTACAAATATCCTTATCAACAGCATGCTGACCGGGAGTTTTGTTGCACCTGCCCATTTCTGACAAATACCCACCTCACCACGACTTTAAGACGAACTGTTTATGCCCTTCATCTCATTCGCGAGTAAAGAGCTGTCCTATGCTTGTGAACATAAAATTGTCTAAGAACAAGGACCAAAGTCTGCTCTTTCCTTTCTCTGTCCACATGTGAACGTATAGCTACCTATAGGTTCACACACAGTAGCCTGTTTTAAGCAACTCAATGATCTGTACGTTAATAACCTAGCATTTACTCACTGACTCTAAACCGTGTTAGAATAAGTCATTCCATTGGCTAAAGTAAAATAACGTGGAAAACAGCTTATATTGGGTAAAATTCGATTATTATGAATGAGTCATACTTTTCAGACGAAGGGTTGCCAGTCCTCGCTGGTTTTTATGCACAGTGGTATGCTACTACAGTAACTTATAGAAAAGTGAAACTCAAGAGGAGCACTATTTACACCTCAAACCACACTGCCTGAACGGTAGCAGTAAATGGGACGCTGTAAAAATATATAAATATTTTAAATTAATGTTCACCCAGTCTAAAGTTTAGCAATTTACGCAAGAAGGTGAACATTTAAATTGTTTGAGACGAGCACTATTTATTTACACCTCAAAACCACACTGTAAACGAAGTATTGTGCATGGAGAGAGTTGCACCGTGAGCTTGTTCGTGGGTTTGGAAAGCATTACTTTACAACTTGGTGTCATACACCACTTGTGCATGTAACCCTCAGTCATATAACAGTCCCATAATATTATCATACAGTTCTCATAACCTCACCCCATAGCACGTATAGCCTATGTACAGGAGTATTAACAAAGGATGTGTCACAAAATAATGTATTTCTCTGACTTTGCAAAGTAATGATTATAGGCTACAACAACATTCTATAATCGGTCTTGCAACAAAAGTTAACGTAGTTAGTACATATAAGCCTTTGCTTTCAGAGATAAACATCGCTCAAGGCCATAAACATTACTCCAATAGCCTAGAAATGTATTTTACGACAAAAAAATGGAGGTAACATTTATTTTAGGAGATAAGCAACCCCTTTATATGTTGTTCTCCATTAATACGCCTAAAAGGAATAATAATAATAAATTATTATCACTTCTGGCAAGATTACAAACTTCAAAATCTGGTGATCTAAGAATACATTTAATTAGGCCTACCTGTTGTACACACGGCATTGGCATACAATGTCAAAATGAAACCAATTAGTTGTTTTAATGTCTCTTGGAAGATTTAATTGGGAGTGACAACAGCACAGTCGAGCGCATCGAAAACAACGTCTCCAACTTTTATTTTTGGATACATAACATATATTTATGTTATTAGAAGGAATAACCATGTGCTCTAGAAAAAAAAATGAACGAAATGTATCTTGTATTTTCACCAGCCAAATATTCAATTTGCAGTACCCACGTCTTCTTATTGCACCTTGTGCACAAAAATATACAACTTGAACACTCAACATGTCTCTAGAAAAAAAATGGTTTATAACCAAATATTAATCAGTTCGCCTTTAGACTGTATGCAAATCGTCAATCTTGAAGTAAATGAGTCAGTTGAAGTGACGAAATAAAACACTGAACGTGAGATAATCCATATCAGCCCTTATTAAGGCCGTTCTCAAGATGGTTCTAAATTAATTAAATATAGGCTATGGTCAAACGGATGGAAAAGCTCTAATGGAAAACTATTTGCTGCATTGTGCAAAATGCATAAACATAATTTGTGTCTACCATGTTCATTAACTCTATTTTTATTTTACTTGTCTAATTGCAGTATTTTCTAAGTCTATATTGTGCCGTGTTGTGGGTTGATGGTGAACTCATATTAATTTGTATTGTTCATGTCTCCAACAGGACCTTCACCGTGGTAGAGTTGTGCCGAGGCCCTAACCGTGAAGCCTTTAGCCGCCGAGATGGGGAGCAAAGCCCTGCCCGCTCCGATCCCTCTCCACCCGTCTCTCCAGCTCACCAACTACTCGTTCCTGCAGGCGGTCAACGCCTTCCCCGCAGCCGTCGACCAGCTCCAGGGACTGTACGGTCTTAGCGCGGTGCAAACCATGCACATGAACCACTGGACACTGGGCTATCCGCACATGCAGGGACTAAGGTCGACTATCACTGAGATGGCTGCGGCTCAGGGCTTAATGGATCCCCGGTTCACCTTCACGGGGCTACCGTTCGCCGCACACCTCTTCCACCCGAAACAGGGCATTACTCACCTTATCCCCGGGCTGCACAAGGACCGACCACCGCGCTTTGACTTTGCCAACCTGGCGATAGCTGCCACCCAGGAGGACCCGCCGAAGCCTGGGGATCTTTCAAAGTTGACAGCGGGGCTCGGGGGCACGATCTCTGAGTTCAACAAACTGTCGCCTGATAGAAAACCCACCCGGGGAAGGCTTCCGTCAAAGACGAAAAAGGAATTTATTTGCAAGTTCTGTGGCAGGCATTTCACAAAGTCGTACAATCTTCTGATCCACGAGAGGACCCACACAGACGAGCGGCCTTATACCTGTGATATCTGCCACAAGGCCTTCCGAAGACAGGACCACCTGAGAGACCACAGGTAAGAAACAAAGCTCTGAATGTATGGGATGATATGGCGTTGGTTTCTCTAAAAGGACAAACGCTTTGATAGTGGTGTGTACAGAATAGCGTCACGTCATATTGTGATCGCGTTTTATTCATATTCATTTGACTTTGTTCACAATTCCAGTATTGTAATGCACTGAAGTCAGACTTTTTTTCATATGTAGGTATTTTTGTAATAACTAAGCTATGGTGCGTGCGCAGTGCAGCGTAGGCCTAGTCCATATTCCAAGAGGGCGCTAAAGCCCCTTCACGCACGAGAATACAGATCAAGTTGCACAACTGACAGGCACTTCTCAGCATGACTCAACGGCTTTGGAAATGCCACAAAGAAGAAATGCCATTATATGAAAGGTGGTCCGTTTTAACTGCGTCTCCTCTGTCTTCTAATTTCCAGATACATCCACTCCAAGGAAAAGCCCTTCAAATGTCAAGAATGTGGGAAAGGATTTTGTCAGTCTCGAACTTTAGCCGTTCATAAAACATTACATATGCAGGTGAGTCTTCCATCCAAACCTATATCATCTGCCATCACAAAGCCATATTTATTAACACATTTGATACCAATCAACATGTATGTGAGTCAGCAAACTATATGAGGCATGAGAGCTCACATATATGTGTACTCATGTTATTACACGCGTCATGTCTTAACGCATGTGTCACTGATCAAATTTGGCATATTTTCTGAAACCTAAAAATATATATATTTTGATTACCTGTATGGATAGCGATTGTGTCTCGACTATATTTGGCATATATGGCAATAACTGAATGATTATGATAAGCAGTTTAAAGAAATATAGGCTAGGCCTACAGACGTTCATTTTGTTAGGGCACAGCTTACTTTCAACACAATGTCAATAACTGACTGAAGATTCATATTATAATACAATACATATATTTCGCTAAATAAACTAAAGGGAATAATCCTTTGCTTGCTTTAAATCTAAACAGGAATCTCCTCACAAATGCCCCACATGCGGAAGAACCTTTAATCAAAGAAGTAACCTGAAAACTCACCTTCTCACCCATACAGACATCAAGCCCTACAGCTGTGACCGCTGCGGAAAGGTGTTTCGGCGCAACTGTGACTTGCGACGGCACAGTTTGACTCACACCCCTCGTCAGGACTACTAGCCTATCTGAGAAGGCTGATGAACAGCTAAACAAACAAACAAACAAACAAAACGGACGTAAACAGAGGAGACAACAACATCGACGAACGTTTTCTTTTTCCATTGAAAGAATATCACAAACTGAACTGTGGACAAGCCATATTACAATGGACTGATTAACAGTACTGCGTCTCCAGTGAAAGTCAAGGAGCCCAGACAGAGACAGACCTTCTACCTGTAAATATCAAGACTTTTGGAGCCCATGTAAATAATGTATTTTTAAAAAATGTTCCTTGAATTGAATTAAAAAGTTGTTTAAAAACAACCCTAATGTTTAAAGTATGTTAAATTGTATTTTAGAAATAAAGCAAGTTAAATATTCCCATTGGCAACATTGTGTTTGTTTTATTCCATCGTTCTTTGCTGCGTAAAAGTAACACGAATTAGTCATGACGTGGTGGAATGAAAGGAGAGTCTAGAACTCCTCCCCACACCACCACCTTATTGTCGTTAACACAAAACATAGTTCATTGTGTTGACAACTTGTTATTTTAAGACGCGTTTTTATTGGAAATAAAGGAGTGGTGATGCAGCTTATAGTGACATCAACTTACTAGAAATAACCTTCCAGAAATAAAACTATTTTGGCCTAAGTAACATGTAGATCTCTTTGAGAATGATTAAGATTATTACTACAGTAGTGGCCTTGTTGTTTTTGTTGGTGTTACTAGTATGCTGTTATTATTAATAGAGTATATTGTAAATCTATTGTGATCCTAGCTATATGACAGCTGACAGTAGCTCATTAGCCGTTCTATTAGCAGCATTAGCAGCAGGGCGACACGTCATATCAGATAGCTTTATCTCCGCCATGGCCTCTGATCGCTACTGATCATTATTATACATTTAAGAAGCTGCAGAGTGGGTCCACAGTGGCAGGAGGCCACGCACAATTACACAGTAGTGTTCCCTACAATTTCCTCAAGCTAAATTAAATACATTTGTTTGGAAAACATGAATTATAATTATAATTATTATTCTTATTATTATTATTAATACAGGTAAAGTATTACAATTGTTATTATTAGGCTATTACTATTATACTAGTATTACTGTTTCGTTTTAGTAGTAGCCTATAGCCTACCCGTATTTAGCTATAGCCTGTAGGCTTATTTTAATCTTGATTTTCTTAATCGTCTGTTTTCTTATTATGCCAGATCAAGGCAATAGTTGAATGTCTTTCCACCAACAGTAAGGAGACAACATCTTTCATCAAGTGTAAACGCAAAAAAATAATTCACATGAACATCGCTGCTATTGCTAAGACGTTTCAACTATTAGAAACGAAATGCGTAAGCTTCCAGAGATTTTGTGATTTTCAAGAAAACATGTTTTTGTTTCCACATCCAAGTGCTCCGGTTAAAACAAGCGTGTGGTTGGGTGTCTCTGCTATGATGTGGGCGAGATAGCGAGCAGAGAGAGAGAGCGAGAGAGAGAGAGAGAGCGAGCAGAGCAGAGCGAGAGCGATGAGAGAGAGCGAGAGAGAGAGCGAGCGAGGAGACGAGATCGCGAGAGCGAGAGAGAGCGTAGAGAGCGCAGAGATGAGCGAAGATCAGAGAGCGCGCGAGAGATGCGGCTGAGATAGCGATGAGATAGCTCTCTCTCTCTCTTCTTCTCTTTCTGCTCTATCTTCTCCTCTCTCTCTCTCTTCTCGCTATGCTCTCTCTCTCTCTCTCTATCTTCTCTCTCTCTCTCTCTCCTCTCCTCTCTCTCTCTCTCTCTCTCTCTCTCTCTCTCAATTCAATTTCAATTTCAATTTAAGGGCTTTATTGGCATGGGAAACGTGTGTTAACATTGCCAAAGCAAGTGAAGTAGATAGTAAACAAAAGTGAAATAAACAATAAATATTAACAGTAAACATTACACTCAGAAGTTTCAAAAGAATAAAGACATTTCAAATGTCATATTATGTATATATACAGTGTTGTAACAATGTGCAAATAGTTAAAGTACAAATGGGAAAATAAATAAACATAAATATGGGTTGTATTTACAATGGTGTTTGTTCTTCACTGGTTGCCCTTTTCTTGTGGCAACAGGTCACAAATCTTGCAGCTGTGATGGCACACTCTCTCTCTCTCTCTGTCTCTCTCTCTCTCTCTCGCTTTCTCTCTCGCGCTCTCTCTCTCGCTCTCTCGCGCTCTCTCTCTCTCATTGTGAAAATATATTCAGCAATGCACATTGTACAAAACCTGACTTACAAAAAAGTACAAATGAAGTCAAAACGAACAGTGGACATAATTATAATCAGGCCTACCTATTCAACGCCGATCGTTGAATAATACGAGATAAGGCCTGACTTTTGACCCAGAAGTTCTGTTGTAACGCCGCCTACCTCCTATTTTCAAATCAAAGTTTATTGGTCGCGTAGGCCTGCACAGATTTGCAGATGTTATCGCAGGTGCAGCGAAATGCAAAACCTAAAAAGCACCGCTTCGATTGGTGCACTGAATTGAGCCACATTCTACTGCAACAGCTAAAGAAGTAGTAATATTTTAGAACAATATAGAAACAATAATGCAACAGCAACAACAATGGTCCCGTCATGAAAATAAACAGAAGCATACTACGGCCTACCTTTACAATTGGGCTGTAGGCCTACTTCTAATAAAAGCATGAATAGCCTAGTAATAATCGTGTGTATAATAATCAGGCATTTCATTGATAGGAAACGCTAACAATAATCGACATTTCAATTATATAAATTGCAATTATGTGAAACTATATATATATATATATATATATATATATATATATATATTTGGATCTAATTTCCTTTAAAAAAATGTATCTGTAACCCTTTTGTTTATCCGTATGATAACCAGAAGTTAAACATGCATCAATAGGAACGAAGAACACGTCATCGTCCACTTAGTTTTTAACTCTAGATTAATGACACAAATGACCTACAGTGCTTTAATCTTAATAATAATATTAACATTACAATATAACAATATTCTTACATTTATTTTTTTATATATTTTTTACAATATTTTAATAATACATATATGTAATAACAATATACACATTTGGGCTAAATAAAATTAGGCCTATAAGAATACACCTGAATAAAAAATACAACAATTAATCATATTTTTATATTTAACACAACTAACAAACATTGCTAAGCCTGACGTCTGTAACACATATCCTAATGTAACCATCCTGGCCTGTTCTTTCAAAAACACACACACACACACTCACGTCATGATCGAAAGCTATTTATGATGACTGTTTGGCAACAAGTGTGCTAAAACAACCCGAGTAAAAACCCTAAACGCTGTATAAGTGAGTTTGATGTGTAATCTGTCTCCACATTAAGCTCCTTCCATGTAATTCCGCCCCGAAGCTTTCACTCTTTGAAAAGGGAAAATAACCTTAGAAAGGTTAAGCTGTAGCCTGAAACGCCATGAGGACCCCGAAGATTTAGGGTGAAACTCGAGGAAGTCGATCTTAAAGGAACAAATATAGAGCTGTCAAATGTCCTGCCGTTGACAGGAGCATTCATAAACGGGACAGCATTTTCACATATTCTCAGACTTCTTTACCAGTTAATTTGCTATTAATTTCTATTGGTGTTATATCCCTTAATGTTTCTAAGAAATGTGATTGTTTTTAGTCAAACACTTCAATCCAGTGGGCATAGCCTGAATTTATTTGCAGTGACAAAGAGTTTCTAGAAATGTCTAATATTATGATTGGACATCAAAGGAGCAGTTACAATTGACTATTGGCTGGAACAAAATCCTCTCAAAGGAGCAGTTACATTGACTATTGGCTGGAACAAAATCCTCTCTTTAAATAATTTCAGTGCAAGGACACATGTTAGCACTAAACCCATGCCAAGTCGGTGCGCTCACCATTGAGGCTAAGAATGGGAAGTCACATTTCTAACTGAAGAGTCAATCGCTATGTTAGGGCCAGGGCTAGGGCCAGGGTGAAGGCTGTGTCCTCACTAGCCTTATCTCACTGAGAGCGAGGATAACAGCTAAGTGCTCAATAGCCTCACTTACCCCTGACTCCATATATCAACAGGATCTGGCGTTGGACAACCCTAGCTGACACCAGGCTTTTATTATGCACCAGGCTTTTATTATGCACCAGGCTTTTATTATGGTAATGTAACAAGATATACATACCAGAGACCTTTATTGTGGAATAAATAACAAACTAGACAGAACTATATTTGTCATAGATTTTGTTACATAAAAGGACATTCATTAAAGAGGCAATCAGCAGTAGAAACAATAACAAAGCAGCCTCCCCGCCCCTGGTTCGGTAAACAGCTGAGGGATAGGGCTGGAGAAATGTAATCACTCTAAAATTCATAGACAGAGCTATGGATGCAAGGATTGACCATCCATGATATCAAAATGATAGTTTTAACCATGTTTTGAGGCTATATAGTTTGTGTACATTTTCTTTGTTTACAAACATTGGATTAAAACAAGTTTACAGCGCCGTCAGAAAGTATTCACACCCCTTGACCTTTTCAACATGTTGTTGTGTTACAGCCTGAATTTGAAATGGATAAAATTAATATTTTTTGTCAATGGCCTACACACAATACCCCATAATGTCAAAGTGGAATTATGCTTGTCTTGAGTCAATAAGTATTCAACCCCTTTGTTATGGCAAGCCTAAATAAGTTCAGGAGTAAAAATGTGCTTAACAAGTCACATACTAAGTTGCATGGACTCACTCTGTGTGCAATACTAGTGTTTAACATGATTTTTTAATGACTACCTCATCAATGTATCCCACACATACAATTATCTGTAAGGTCCTGTTGGTAGATGGGTAAAAAAAAAAGCAGACGTTGAATATCCCTTTGAGCATGGTAAAGTTCTTAATTACACTTTGGATGGTGTATCAATACACCCAGTCACTACAAAGATACAGGCGTCCTTCTTAACTCAGTTGCCGGAGAGGAAGGAAACCCCTCAGGGACTTCACCATGAGGTCAATGGTGACTTAAAAACATTTACAGAGTTTAATGGCTGTGATAGGAGAAAACTGAGGATGGATCAACAACATTGTAGTTACTCCACATTACTAACCCAATTGACAGAGTGAAAAGAAGGAAGCCTGTACAGAATACAAATATTCCAAAACATGCATCCTGTTTGCAATAAGGCACTAAAGTAATACTGCAAAAAATGTGGCAAAGCAATTAACTTTTTGTCCTGAATACAAAGTGTTACCTTTGGGGCAAATCCAATACAACACATTACTGAGTACCACTCTCCATATTTTCTAGCATAGTGGTGGCTGCATCATGTTATGGGTATGCTTGTAATCGTTAACGACTGGGGAGTTTTTCAGGATAAAAATTAACTAAGTGGATTTAAGCACAGGCAAAATCCTAGAGGAAAACCTGGTTCAGTCTGCTTTTCACCAGACACTGGGAGATTAATTCACCTTTCAGCAGCACAATAACCTAAAACACCAGGCCAAATTTACACTGGAGTTGATTACCAAGAAGACAGTGAATGTTCCTGAGTGGCCGAGTTACAGTTTTGACAAATCTGCTTGAAAATCTATGGCCAGACTTGAAAATGGTTGTCTAGCAATAATCAATACCAATTTGACAGAGCTTGAAGAATTTTGAAAATAATAATGGGCAAATATTGTACAATCTAGGTGTGCAATGCTCTTATAGAGTTACCCAGAAAGACTAACAGCTGTAATCACTGCCAATGGTGATTCTAACATGTATTGACTCAGGGGTGTGAATTCTTATGTAAATTAGATATTTCTGTATTTCATTTTCAATACATTTGCAAAAATTTCTAAAAACATGTTTTCACGTTGTCATTATTGGGTATTGTGTGTAGATGGCTGAGAATAAAAATCTATTGAATTCAGGCTATAACACAACAAAATGTGGAATAAGTCAAGGGGTATGAATACTTTCTGAAGGCACTGTATATTTTGGGTTCTGATGGGGTATGACAGTTGAACCAAGCTCATGAGGCATTTATAAGTTATATTCTTCAAGAATCAATGGGTACATATCATTAATTTAAAAGTCCAAAAATTGATGTAGCAACTGCTGATTGTCCCTTTAAACTTATTAGGCTATATATTTGTCATACATTTCATGATACATTAAAAGGACATGAGAGGAATAAGTTGTGTGTGATTTGTAAAACTACACCTGGAAATAGGGGAGAAGTTTTAATATGAAATGGAATCACATCAGAATGAAACAACATGCTCAAGCAGTAATCAAGTGGTTTAAATCAGATTGTGGCACATATTTGAAATCTCCCGAGGAAATGAACATAACAGTAACACAATAATAAATGCATTGACGTATGATTTCAGTGTTCTATTATTTTTCATTGTATTGTATTGAAATCAGACATTACAGAACTGCTGGGAGAAGTAATCAAAATCTCGACAATGACTAGCAGTTGACACCTGAAGACTTCTGCAGACTAGAATCTAAAGACTAAGCATTCGTTTGAATATTTCAGCATGATGAATAACACATTTAGCTTCTATTGTTTATTCCTATTCCGAGTACTCTGGTGCAACATTTGAGACATTTTTATTATAGCCATACATTTCCTACTATTAATCTATTTGATTTTAATTACTGCATCATGCTAGAATTATAATCAAACCATTCATGACCTAAATTTAAGAAGCTGACTAGCTACTAGTATGCAGATCATGTATCCTCAAACCCTAAAATGCAATCGTTTGTGTTTCCATTGCGCTTGATAAGTTTACACCATTTTTGCTTTGAACACATTTTACTATATTTTATGAATGAGAGGAGGCTAGGAAAGGGAACCGCTTAAATGTATTGGTTCGGTCCCATCACGGGGGCGGATACCTAACTAGGAAATGACGACACGACAGTTAGCACCCGGAAGTTCTGTGTTAGTTGATGATGACGTTTGCCTGAGACAGATGTGCCTTGCTTCAGCTAACGGAATGAATTAACTAGTGTGGTACCGAAGAGATTCATTGAAACTGCAGCAAACAAAGTAAGGAAAAATAATTGAGTCGAAGTAAATAGACAGCAGTCGTATAAGCTTCGTTTACTTGGCTACTGAATGACTAGACATCTAGCTAGGCTAATGTTAGCAAGCAGGCTAGGACTGGAGCTAGTCCACTGTCATTTGGCTAGCACACTTTTCCAGAATGCGATATCTCCATATGCAAACATGTTCTTGGTTTTCCACTTTCTACCTGCTACTACACCCCTTTTGATAGTCCAATAACTAATCAGCTAGCGAACTAACTCTAGCCAGCCCTATGAACTGCTGCTAACTAGGTAGATCACTAACGGTACGAGCCAGGCCCACAAGTTTGTTGAAACTTGCATGCACATTTTTCTAGCTATCTGGGTTGCATTGTATGTTCTTAAAAGGCGCTTCATGGTCAATCCGCTATCTGCATTGGCCGTGCAGCATTAACGGTGATATGGCCTCTGCTGAAGTCAGGGCATTAATACTTCTTGCCCTTCGCGGAGCAGTTGTCAAGGAAGTGAGTTTGTGTTTATACAGGACATCCCTCCCTCACCGACCGTTAACCAATCATGTCAATGCGGAGCTATACGGAGCCGTCCTCATTGGTACAAGGCGCATGGCGGTCAATTTGGCCTCTGCATGCATCCGGAAGCTTCACAATTGGCCTCTGCGCCTCCGACCACATTTCAAATCAAGCATTAATTGTCTTTAATCCAAATGAAAGCGTCGGTACACATCAGGTACACCCATAGAGATGTATAGAGCAGTCATCGTTATATATGTGGCGCTGTAGCGTCAGTAACAGCATAGGTAGCGCCATTGAGACTACAACTCATAGGAATCCCCACCCAGTTGACCATTTTGACTACTTTAAAATGGCGGAAGCATGGTGGAAGACCTTAATGGTGCTGCCCATGCTTAAACGGCTTTAAGGCCACTAGAGGCCTCTATCATTCTCTATGGCTACACTAACATATTCTGAGATAATGCAAGGACCGTTAGCTTATCTACCTAGCTAGCTAGCTAGCTGCCAGGCTGTGGTGAGCTGCCACAGTTCAAATCTAATTGTATTGGTCACATGCTTCGTAAACAACAGGTGTAAACTAACAGCGAAATGCTTACTTACGGGTCCCTTTTCCAACAATGCAGAGTTAAAGATAAAAAAATATCAAATAAAAATAGTGACACAAGGAATAAATACTCAGTGAATAACGAATAACAACTTAGATAAGCTCTAGTCTCACTACGTAGCAATGCAAGCTAGCAAATGATCCTCACTCAGTCACACAGATCGTATACATGAAAAAGGCAAAACAATATGATGTTGTGTTAGGTGGTTAGCTATATAGCTAGCTATGTAACTTCATGTTGTCAGACAAAGGAGAATCTATAACACACATCATCTCATGAGGGGTTCTACCAGTTCACTGCAGTCCTGCATCTCTAGCCATGGCAGTTCGTTTGACTGGAGGGCTTTGAGGGGCTGTAGGCATGGCCAGCTAAGTATATCCCTCGGTTACCAGATATGGTATTTGGCCAGCTCAACTTGCTTTAATCAACCTTTTAACTATGTATGGTGACTTGGAATGACTCCCCTCCAAAAAATGAGCTGACTTTCTTCCCTATTGTGTTGTGGTCCAGGACAGGCAGGATGTTGGAGTCCTATGTCACGCCCCTGTTGATGAGCTATGTGAACAAATACATCAAGAACCTGAAGCCCTCTGACCTGCAGCTGTCACTATGGGGAGGAGACGTAGTACTGAGCAAGCTGGAGCTGAAGTTGGATGTCCTGGAGCAGGTATGGAATAACCTGGAATGAAACTGGAATAAAGCTTATTAACACTGTAATAACATGTAATAACACTGTAATAACACTTTAATGTCCAGGAATAACACGTAGTAATGCTATTGACTTTGTATCTGCTCTTTTGCTGAGGTAACGTTATGAATACAGGCCAGGTCACTTTCAATCTGAGTCTGTTCTTTTGCTGAGGTAACTTTATGAATGCCACTCTCTCAATCTGACACGTAGAAATGTGAAATTTAGAAAAACAGATTAGGATAGGAACCATCATGATGACTCCAAATTGATAGCCCCGTGTAGATCAGTTGGTAGAGCATGGCGCTTGCAACGCCAGGGTTGTGGGTTCGTTTCCCACGGGGGGCCAGTATGAAATGTATGCACTCACTAACTGTAAGTCGCTCTGGATAAGAGCGTCTGCTAAATGACTAAAATGTTTTTAAAAAATGTAAATAATTGTAACTTTTCCCACAAGAGGTCACTTGTTCCATTAGACCATGGCTAGACTGAACAGACAGACTGCCACCTGTCTGTCTGTCCCTGCTCAATAGTGACACCCAGGGACACGGACTGGGATCCCACCAGTGCTGATGTCAAACATAGCCTAGTCTGTGTCCAGTGCTTGATGATGGGGAGAGAGCAGTAGCTTCATGTGAATTTTAGTGATTACTTTAGATGCAGATTTGAAACATTCTCTGTTCTACTCAATTCAATGGCTTTGATTGCTGTGTGTTCTTGTTCAGATATTGAGACCTTTACCAGAATGAAATCAGGGCCTGAAGGCCTAAACAACAGATATTGATGTCTTTACCTGAATGAAATCAGGGCCTGAAGGCCTAAACAACAGATATTGAGATCTTTACCAGAATGAAATCAGGGCCTGAAGGCCTAAACAACAGATATTGATATCTTTACCAGAATGAAATCAGGGTCTGAAGGCCTAAACAACAGATATTGAGATCTTTACCAGAATGAAATCAGGGCCTGAAGGCCTAAACAACAGATATTGAGATCTTTACCCGAATGAAATCAGGGTCTGAAGGCCTAAACAACAGATATTGAGATCTTTACCAGAATTAAATCAGGGTCTGAAGGCCTAAACAACAGATATTGAGATCTTTACCCGAATGAAATCAGGGTCTGAAGGCCTAAACAACAGATATTGAGATCTTTACCAGAATGAAGTCAGGGCCTAAAGATGGTCCCCAATCCAATTGATATACAGAAGTTTTCTTGTTGACTTGTTCTTGTTCAGATGTTAGTTATATCTACTTGGATATTTTACTTTGTTATTTTGACACAGAGTCCTAGTTTTATCTGTCGTATCAATCTGCAAGACTAGTGTTGACTGTTTCCCTTCTCCAGCACACCAAAACACTAGACCATCTTGCGTCCCAAATGGCACCCTTTCCCCTATATAGTGCACTACTTTTGACTAGAGCCCTGGACAAAGTAGTGCACTACGTAGTGAATAGGGTGCCATTTGAGACTCAACCCCATAACGAACAAAGAGCCTTATTATTGGAAGCAGCTTGTACTTGTAGACAACTGACAGTGGGGACTGGGAATGTAATGGATTACCATCTGGATGTTTAACGCTATGTTCAAATCTAGGCCCTTTTCCTCCTCTTTTGTCGTCTTTTTTTTTTTTGTATTGAATTTGGGCAGTTTTATAATGTACAGAGAAGTGATTAGGAATCCTCCTCTCAGCCAGTGGAGTGGTGGGACTGGATCCTATACAGACAGACGTGCTGTAGCCTAAATCCATGACAGCTTCTCCTCAGAAGGGAATGGAAGGAGCATGGAAGGCTCAGTGTGTCTGTGTCGTCTGGTAGTTTCATACCACCTATTCTCACCATAGAGCACTAGAGCAGACGTCTCAGTGGTTGAAGATGCGTAACAACACTGTTCAGCCTGTGAATATATCTCCCTGATTCTCCTTGTGAAAACAGTATATACAGTGCATTCGGAAAGTATTCAGACCCCTTGACTTTTTCTACATTTTGTTACGTTACAGCCTTATTCTAAAATGTTCTCATCAATCTACACCCCATAATGTCAAAAGCGAAAACATGTTTTTAGAAATACCTTATTTACATAAGTATTCAGACCCTTTGCTATGAGACTCGAAATTGAGCTCAGGTGCATCCTGCTTCCATTGATCATCCTTGAGCTGTTTCTACAACTTGATTGGAGTCCCATCTGTGGTAAATTTAATTGATTGGACATGATTTGGTAAAGGCACACACTTGTCTATATATAAGGTCACACAGTTGACAGTGCATGTCCCTATGGTGAAGCATGGTGGTGGCAGCATCATCCTGTGGGAATGTTTTTCAGTGGCAGGGACTGGGAGACTAGTCAGGATCGAGGGAAAGATGAACGGAGCAAAGTATAGAGAGATCCTTGCTGAAAACCTGCTCCAGAGCGCTCAGGACCTCAGACTGGGGCGAAGGTTCACCTTCCAACAGGACAACGACCCTAAGCACACAGCCAAGACAACGCAGGAGTGGCTTCGGTACAAGTCTCAGAATGTCCTTGAGTGGCCCAGCCAGAGCCCGGACTTGAACCCGATCGAACATCTCTGGAGAGACCTGAAAATAACTGTGCAGCAACGCTCCCCATCCAACCTGACAGAGCTTCAGAGGATAAGCAGAGAAGACCCAAGAAGACTCGAAGGCTGTAATCACTGCCAAAGGTGCTTCAACAAAGTACTGAGTAAAGGGTCTGAATACCTATGTAAATGTTTTTTATTTTTAATAAATTAGCAAAAAATTCTAAATCTGTTTTTGCTTTGTCATTATGGGGTATTGTGTGTAGATTGATGAGGGGAGAAAAACTATTTAATCCATTTTAGAATAAGGCTGTAATGTAACAAAATGTTGAAAATGTCAAGGAGTCTGAATACTTTCCGAATGCACTGTGTGTGTGTGTGTGTATATATATATATATATATATATACATACACACACACACACAGTGGGGAGAACAAGTATTTGATACACTGCCGATTTTGCAGGTTTTCCTACTTACAAAGCATGTAGAGGTCTGTAATTTTTTATCATAGGTACACTTCAACTGTGAGAGACGGAATCTAAAACAAAAATCCAGAAAATCACATTGTATGATTTTTAAGTAATTAATTTGCATTTTATTGCATGACATAAGTATTTGATCACCTACCAACCAGTAAGAATTCCGGCTCTCACAGACCTGTTAGTTTTTCTTTAAGAAGCCCTCCTGTTCTCCACTCATTACCTGTATTAACTGCACCTGTTTGAACTCGTTACCTGTATAAAAGACACCTGTCCACACACTCAATCAAACAGACTCCAACCTCTCCACAATGGCCAAGACCAGAGAGCTATGTAAGGACATCAGGGATAAAATTGTAGACCTGCACAAGGCTGGGATGGGCTACAGGACATTAGACAAGCAGCTTGGTGAGAAGGCAACAACTGTTGGCGCAATTATTAGAAAATGGAAGAAGTTCAAGATGACGGTCAATCACCCTCAGTCTGGGGCTCCATGCAAGATCTCACCTCGTGGGGCATCAATGATCATGAGGAAGGTGAGGGATCAGCCCAGAACTACACGGCAGGACCTGGTCAATGACCTGAAGAGAGCTGGGACCACAGTCTCAAAGAAAACCATTAGTAACACACTACGCCGTCATGGATTAAAATCCTGCAGCGCACGCAAGGTCCCCCTGCTCAAGCCAGAGCATGTCCAGGCCCGTCTGAAGTTTGCCAATGACCATCTGGATGATCCAGAGGAGGAAGTGGCGCAGTGGTCTCCCGAGTGGCGCAGTGGTCTAAGGCACTGCATCGCAGTGCTAGCTGTGCCACTAGAGATCCTGGTTCGAATCCAGGCTCTGTCGTAGCCGGCCGCGACCGGGAGACCCATGGGGCGGCGCACAATTGGCCCAGCGTCGTCCAGGGTAGGGGAGGGATTGGCCGGCAGGGGATGTAGCTCAGTTGGTAGAGCATGGCGTTTGCAACGCCAGGGTTGTGGGTTCGATAAAATAATGTATGTGCTAACTGTAAGTCGCTCTGGATAAGAGCGTCTGCTAAATGACTAAAATGTAAATGTAAATGTAAATGAATGGGAGAAGGTCATGTGGTCTGATGAGACAAAAATAGAGCTTTTTGGTCTAAACTCCACTCGCCGTGTTTGGAGGAAGAAGAAGGATGAGTACAACCCCAAGAACACCATCCCAACCGTGAAGCATGGAGGTGGAAACATCATTCTTTGGGGATGCTTTTCTGCAAAGGGGACAGGACGACTGCACCGTATTGAGGGGAGGATGGATGGGGCCATGTATCGCAAGATCTTGGCCAACAACCTCCTTCCCTCAGTAAGAGCATTGAAGATGGGTCGTGGCTGGGTCTTCCAGCATGACAACGACCCGAAACACACAGCCAGGGCAACTAAGGAGTGGCTCCGTAAGAAGCATCTCAAGGTCCTGGAGTGGCCTAGCCAGTCTCCAGACCTGAACCCAATAGAAAATCTTTGGAGGGAGCTGAAAGTCCGTATTGCCCAGCGACAGCCCCGAAACCTGAAGGATCTGGAGAAGGTCTGTATGGAGGAGTGGGCCAAAATCCCTGCTGCAGTGTGTGCAAACCTGGTCAAGACCTACAGGAAACGAATGATCTCTGTAATTGCAAACAAAGGTTTCTGTACCAAATATTAAGTTCTGCTTTTCTGATGTATCAAATACTTACGTCATGCAATAAAATGCAAATTAATTACTTAAAAATCATACAATGTGATTTTCTGGATTTTTGTTTTAGATTCTGTCTCTCACAGTTGAAGTGTACCTATGATAAAAATTACAGACCTCTACATGCTTTGTAAGTAGGAAAACCTGCAAAATCAGCAGTGTATCAAATACTTGTTCTCCCCACTGTATATATATATACAGTGCTATGAAAAAGTATTTGCCCCCTTTCTAATTTTCTCTACTTTTGCATATGTGTGATACTGAATGTTATCAGATCTTCAACCAAAACCTAATATTAGATAAAGGGAACATAAGTGAATAAATAACACAACAATTACATATTTATTTCATAAACAAAGTTATGCAACACCCAATTCCCCTGTGTGAAAAAGTAATTACCCCCTTACACTCAATAACTGGTTGTGCCACCTTTAGCTGCAATAACTCCAACCAAATGCTACCTGTAGTTGTTGATCAGTCTCTCACGTCGCTGTGGAGGAATTTTGGCCCACTCTTCCATGCAGAACTGTTTTAACTCAGTGACGTGTGGGTTTTCAAGAATGAACTTCTCGTTTCAAGTCCTGCCACAACATCTCAATTGGGATTAGGTCTGGACTTTCACTAGGCCACTCCAAAACTTCCAATTTGTTGCTTTTTAGCAATTTTCATGTAGACTTGATTGTGTGTTTTGGATCATTGTCTTGCTGCATGACCCAGCTGCGCTTCAGCTTCAGCTCACAGACGGATGGTCTGACATTCTCCTGTAGAATTCTCTGATACAGAGCAGAATTCATGGTTCCTTCTATTAAGGCAAGTCGTCCAGGTCCTGAGGCAGCAAATCATCCCCAAACCATCACACCACCACCACCACCATGCTTGACCTTTGGTATGATGTTCTTACTGTGGAATGCAGTGTTTTGGTTTTCGCCAGGCATAATGGGACCCATCTCGTCCAAAAAGTTGACTCAAGTTTGCCAAAAAGCACCTGGATGATCATCAAGACTCTTGGAAGAACGTTCTATGGACAGATGATTCAAAAGTATAACTTTTTGGACGACATGGTTCCAGTAATGCCTGGCGAAAACCAAAGTCTGCATTACACAGTAAGAACATCATACCAAAGGTCAAGCATGGTGGTGGTGGTGGTGTGATGGTTTGGGGATGATTTGCTGCCTCAGGACCTGGATGACTTGCCTTAATAGAAGGAACCATGAATTCTGCTCTGTATCAGAGAATTCTACAGGAGACTGTCAGACCATCTGTCTGTGAGCTGAATCTGAACCGCAGCTGGGTCATGCAGCAAGACAATAATCCAAAACACACAATCAAGTCTACATGAAAATAGCTAAAAAGCAACACAATTGGAAGTTTTGGAATGGCCTAGTCAAAGTCCAGACCTAATCCAAATTGAGATGTTGTGGCAGGATTTGAAATGAGCAGTTCATGCTTGAAAACCCACACGTCACGGAGTTAAAGCAGTTCTGCATGGAAGAGTGGGCCAAAATTCCTCCACAGCGACGTGAGAGACTGATCAACAACTACAGGAAGCATTTGATTGGAGTCATTGCAGCTAAAGGTGGCACAACCAGTTATTGTGTGTAAGGGGGCAATTACTTTTTCACACAGGGGAATTGGGTGTTGCATAACTTTGTTTATGAAATAAATATGTAATTGTTGTGTTATTTGTTCACTTATGTTCCCTTTATCTAATATTAGGTTTTGGTTGAAGATCTGATAACATTCAGTATCACAAATATGCAAAAGTAGAGAAAATTAGAAAGGGGGCAAATACTTTTTCATAGCACTGTATGATTTGTTCATTGGACGCTCCAGTTCTACCCTCCTCTAATAATGTAGGATATTACATGGCTTGAATGATCTTAGTATGTAGAGCTCAGTGGAGTGGAGGTTTCACCTATAAATATATTGAAGTAGAGCTCATGGAGGGAGGGGTGCCCCTAAATATACTGTTTTTGTAGAGCGATCTCAGTGGATGAGGGGTTTCCCCTATATTACGTGGTGTGAGCTCAGGGCAGTGGAGGCGTTCCCTATAAGATACTATAGTTGTAGACTGAGCTCTGAGGTTTCCATAGATACTTTAGTGTTGTAGAGCTCAGTGGAGTGGAGGGGTTTCCCCTATAAGATACTATTGTGTTGTAGAGCTCAGTGGAGTGGGGGTTTCTATACAATACTATGTGTTGTAGAGGACTAGTGAGTGGAGGGGTTCTATACATATACTGTGTTGTAGAGCTCAGGGAGAGGGGTTTCCTATATCAGATACTTAGTGTTGTAGAGCTGAGTGGGAGGGGTTCCCTATATAGATACTATAGTGTTGTAGAGCTCAGTGGAGGGGTTCTATATCAGAAACTATAGTGTTGTAGAGCTCAGTGGAGGGGTTCTATATCAGATACTATAGTGTTGTAGAGCTGAGCTCAGTGGAGGGGTTCTATATCAGATACTATAGTGTTGTAGAGCTCAGTGGAGGGGTTCTATATCAGATACTGTAGTGTTGTAGAGCTGAGTGGAGGGGTTCTATATCAGATACTATAGTGTTGTAGAGCTCAGTGGAGGGGTTCTATATCAGAAACTATAGTGTTGTAGAGCTCAGTGGAGGGGTTCTATATCAGATACTATAGTGTTGTAGAGCTCAGTGGTGGGGTTCTATATCAGATACTATAGTGTTGTAGAGCTGAGCTCAGTGGAGGGGTTCTATATCAGATACTGTAGTGTTGTAGAGCTCAGTGGAGGGGTTCTATATCAGATACTATAGTGTTGTAGAGCTGAGTGGAGGGGTTCTATATCAGATACTATAGTGTTGTAGAGCTCAGTGGAGGGGTTATATATCAGATACTGTAGTGTTGTAGAGCTCAGTGGAGGGGTTCTATATCAGATACTGTAGTGTTGTAGAGCTCAGTGGAGGGGTTCTATATCAGATACTATAGTGTTGTAGAGCTCAGTGGAGGGGTTCCATATCAGATACTATAGTGTTGTAGAGCTGAGCTCAGTGGAGGGGTTCTATATCAGATAATATAGTGTTGTAGAGCTCAGTGGAGGGGTTCTATATCAGATACTGTAGTGTTGTAGAGCTCAGTGGAGGGGTTCTATATCAGATACTATAGTGTTGTAGAGCTGAGTGGAGGGGTTCTATATCAGATACTATAGTGTTGTAGAGCTGAGCTCAGTGGAGGGGTTCTATATCAGATACTGTAGTGTTGTAGAGCTCAGTGGAGGGGTTCTATATCAGATACTATAGTGTTGTAGAGCTCAGTGGAGGGGTTCTATATCAGATACTATAGTGTTGTAGAGCTCAGTGGAGGGGTTCTATATCAGATACTGTAGTGTTGTAGAGCTCAGTGGAGGGGTTCTATATCAGATACTGTAGTGTTGTAGAGCTCAGTGGAGGGGTTCTATATCAGATACTGTAGTGTTGTAGAGCTGAGCTCAGTGGAGGGGTTCTACAGTTGAAGTCGGAAGTTTACATACACTTAGGTTAGAGTCATTAAAACTCGTTTTTCAACCACTCCACAAATGTCTTGTTATCAAACTATAGTTTTGGGAAGTCGGTTAGGACATCTACTTTGTGCATGACACAAGTAATTTTTCCAACAATTGTTTACAGACAGATTATTTCACTTATAATTCACTGTATCACAATTCCAGTGGGTCAGAAGTTTACATACACTAAGCTGACTGTGCCTTTAAACAGCTTGGAATATTCCAGAAAATTATGTAATGGTTTTAGATGCTTCTGATAGGCTAATTGACATCATTTGAGTCAATTGGAGGTTTACCATACTTCCAAAGTTTGTGGCAAAATGGCTTAAGGACAACAAAGTCAAGGTATTTGAGTGGCCATCACAAAGCCCTGACCTTAAGCCTATAGAAAATGTGTGGGCAGAACTGAAAAAGCGTGTGCGAGCAAGGAGGCCTACAAACCTGACTCAGTTACACCAGCTCTGTCAAGAGGAATGGGCCAAAATTCACCCAACTTATTGTGGGAAGCTTGTGGAAGGCTACCCAAAAACGTTTGACCCAAGTTAAACAATTTAAAGGCAATGCTACCAAATACTAATTGAGTGTATGTAAACTTCTGACCCACTGGGAATGTGATGAAAGAAATAAAAGCTGAAAAAATAATTCTCTCTACTATTATTCTGACATTTCACATTCTTAAAATAAAGTGGTGATCCTAACTGACCTAAGACAGGGAATTCTTACTAGGATTAAATGTCAGGAATTGTGAAAAATTGAGTTGAAATGTATTTGGCTAAGGTGTATGTAACTTCCGACTTCAAATGTATACACACTACCGTTCAAAAGTTTGGGGTCACTTATAAATGTCCTTGTTTTCCATGAAAACATACTTGAAATGAGTTTGAATAGGAAATACAGCAAAATGCATAGGAAATGTAGTCATTGACAATTTTAATTGAAATAATAATTGTGTCCTTCAAACTTTGCTTTCGTCAAAGAATCCTCCATTTGCAGCAATTACAGCCTTGCAGACCTTTGGTGTTGTAGTTGTCAATTTGTTGAGGTAATCTGAAGAGATTTCACCCCATGCTTCCTGAAGCACCTCCCACAAGTTGGATTGGCTTGATGGGCACTTCTTACGTACCATACGGTCAAGCTGCTCCCACAACAGCTCAATAGGGTTGAGATCCGGTGACTGTGCTGGCCCCTCCATTATAGACAGAATTCCAGCTGACTGCTTCTTCCCTAAATAGTTCTTGCATAGTTTGGGGCTGTGCTTTGGGTCATTGTCCTGTTGTAGGAGGAAATTGGTTCCAATCAAGCGCCGTCCACAGGGTATGGCATGGCGTTGCAAAATGGAGTGATAGCCTCCTTCTTCAAGATCCCTTTTACCCTGTACAAATCTCCCACTTTACCACCACCAAAGCATCCCCAGACCATCACATTGCCGCCACCATGCTTGACAGATGGCATCAAGCCTGTTATCGAACCCGCAATTGCTGATGCTCCAGATACTCAACTAGTCTCAAGAAGGCCAGTTTTATTGCTTCTTTAATCAGCAGTACAGTTTTCAGCTGTGCCAACATAATTGCAAAAGGGTTTTCTAATGTCCAAGTAGCCTTTTTAAAATGATAAACTTGGATTAGCAAACACAACGTGCCATTGGAACACAGGACTGATGGTTGCTGATAATGGGCCTCTGTACGCCTATGTAGATATTCCATTACAATTCAGCCGTTTCCAGCTACGATAGCCATTTACAACATTAACAATATCTACACTTTCTGATCAATTTGATGTTATTTTAATGGACAAAAAAATGCATTTCTAAGTGACCCCAAACGTTTGAACGACAGTGTACATACACACATGATGCTTTGGAACTGGTTCAGGTTGTTAAAAAAAAAACAGAGGCATAAAGAACCATTTGTAAACTTCCACTATAGTTTAGCTTCATTCTCATGTTTAGGTTTGATTATTTAATGACTAAACATACTTTATACTGCAGAGATCGTACCCTCATGTCTTGTTAGTTGTCCACAGATCATATACTGCAGAGATCGTACCCTCATGTCTTGTCAGTTGTCCACAGATCATATACTGCAGAGATCGTACCCTCATGTCTTGTCAGTTGTCCACAGATCATATACTGCAGAGATCGTACCCTCATGTCTTGTTAGTTGTCCACAGATCATATACTGCAGAGATCGTACCCTCATGTCTTGTCAGTTGTCCACAGATCATATACTGCAGAGATCGTACCCTCATGTCTTGTCAGTTGTCCACAGATCATATACTGCAGAGATCGTACCCTCATGTCTTGTCAGTTGTCCAAAGATCATATACTGCAGAGATCTTACCCTCATGTCTTGAACCCACATCCCTAGCATTGCCAGCCCACAGACTCCAACCCACTGAGCCATTGCAATCACTTATTTGTATTCCTGTTTCTAGGAGCTGAAGCTACCCTTTACCTTCCTGAGTGGTCACATCCATGAGCTGCGTATCCACGTGCCCTGGACCAAACTGGGCTCAGAGGCGGTGGTCATCACCATCAACACTATGGAGTGTATCCTCAAACTGAAAGATGGAGCACAGGTTAGTGCTGCTGCTTTAGATTTATACTGTAGCCTGCTCCTGATAAGTGCACTACTCCAATGTAGTGCACACTGTCATGGCATTCCAAAGCTGGTGCGTTTCTGAGTCTTGGGAGTTACTGTGTCACTGAAATGAGTTCACCTCTTCCTCAACATCTTAAGAGAGGTTTTTACATAACAAGTTATAATCTCTGTCATAAAACGTTCCACAGGAATAGACTTGGTTTAAAACATATTGTTGGTTTCATCCATTCTATCTTTCTTTCTAGACTCCTCTACCCAGAACCCCCTCTGTCCCCTCAGCAGTCCAACAGCCCATGACTCAGTTCACCTCTTTCTAGACTCCTCTACCCAGAACCCCCTCTGTCCCCTCAGCAGTCCAACAGCCCATGACTCAGTTCACCTCTTTCTAGACTCCTCTACCCAGAACCCCCTCTGTCCCCTCAGCAGTCCAACAGCCCATGACTCAGTTCACCTCTTTCTAGACTCCTCTACCCAGAACCCCCTCTGTCCCCTCAGCAGTCCAACAGCCCATGACTCAGTTCACCTCTTTCTAGACTCCTCTACCCAGAACCCCCTCTGTCCCCTCAGCAGTCCAACAGCCCATGACTCAGTTCACCTCTTTCTAGACTCCTCTACCCAGAACCCCCTCTGTCCCCTCAGCAGTCCAACAGCCCATGACTCAGTTCACCTCTTTCTAGACTCCTCTACCCAGAACCCCCTCTGTCCCCTCAGCAGTCCAACAGCCCATGGCTCAGTTCACCTCTTTCTAGACTCCTCTACCCAGAACCCCCTCTGTCCCCTCAGCAGTCCAACAGCCCATGACTCAGTTCACCTCTTTCTAGACTCCTCTACCCAGAACCCCCTCTGTCCTCTCAGCAGTCCAACAGCCCATGACTCAGTTCACCTCTTTCTAGACTCCTCTACCCAGAACCCCCTCTGTCCCCTCAGCAGTCCAACAGCCCATGGCTCAGTTCACCACTTTCTTCAAGTTGGCTTAGGGTCTCAGGCAGGGGTGCTCATTTGGACTAATTTGACACGTCGTTTCTAGTCTTGCCGCTCAAATTCAAAGGTCTGCGTCTCCAGTTCAAAGGTTTGCATGTCTAATGAGCGGCCGTAGAGCCGATTAACCAAGGTGCCTCAGAGCAGCAGACTAAAGCTGACTGGAATCACAGCCTGCTTGACTGGAGCAGAGAGACTGTTGCTGTGGCTGAAATGCACCCTGTTGCATTTATAGAACGCTAGTTATGTGGGCTCTGGTCAAAAGTAGTGCTCTAGGGTGTTATTCACCCTGCTGGAAGGAAACATTCTGCAAATGCTCTTTTAATTCCTCTGGAAATGTGTCTGGGTTTATTTGAACCAGTCAGGTCTTGGCATCAGACGGAGAGATCAGTAGTTCATTAGTGAACGGCTGCTTTAGAAGTGTCTGTCTTTGTGAGTTCACGTTTATAACTTCAAGACAACACAATTCCTCACTGCTCAGCAAATGTACTCTTCAGAACGAGGACAGATTGCCAGTGACCATAAATATTCAGAGAACTTCTAGTATTATAGTGTTGCTGGTTAGGCCTAATTCCACTGGTATTTTTACAATTGAACCGTAATATGTATTTGGCAAGTGACTAAATTGCAGTTAAAAACTGTGTGTTGGTAGTCAGTAGAGGCATTTTACTAGGCTCATTTATTACATGAGCTGTGCATCCCAAATGGCACCCTATTCCCTACATAGTGCACTACCTTTGATCAGAGCCCTGGTCAAAAGTAGTGCACTACAAAGGGAGGAGTGCCATTTGAGACTCAGGAGACTCAACCAAAGATCATGGTTGTCAAGAGTCAAGACAGTCCCACTTCTCTCTCTACCGGCCCAAGCTGCATGTTTGACAAGAAGCAGTAATTATGTCCTTGTAGTTGATCAGTACAAAGTCTTAGCAGCACCACCACTGAAACTGAACCCAAAATAAATATGTATATTTTATTTAGGTTGGATTATAAATATTTTCACAATGGGAAAATGTAGTATGAAAGACATTTTTGTGAGATGTGTTAGTGCAGAAGAGTCTGGTTGTGGTCGTACCTATTCTAAACCACCCATGCTGTTGCCAAGTAGAAAGGCAAGCTGGGAATGGGGAGCCCAGAGAGCAGGGCACGTCCCTAACGGCACCCTGTTCCCTGTATAGTGCACTACTTTAGACCAGAGACCTATGAGCCCTGTAAAGATACTAGGGGGACATTTGGTCCTCGGCCCCTGCATGGAGTGTCTCAAGGCCAGATGTCCCCGTCAGTAGAAACACATTGCAAGGGAAGTCAATTACACCTAATTATATAGACTGCAGGCTAAAGATTTGTAACACATGAGCTTGAGCAGTCCAGAACTAATGGTAAATATTATAGTATGCAGATGGCTACTGCTGCAGTGATCACATTTCAAGCCCTATGGAAACTGGAACTTTTTTTTCTGCTCCGTACACAGCTCAGGGTCACGGGGTAGCAGTGTAAAGCACTCTCGTGTACTACTACTCTCAAAACAAGTATTTGTTACAGATGTTTTCCAAAGGTTTCCCCAGTCAAGAAAGGATTTTTGGAAAATTGCAAATGACGTTTGGACAAATTATTCAATGTTATTCTCACCCGGGAGACACAATTTGGAGTGAAGCCAGACTTCCAACAGAAGTCCTGCTAGGCAGCAGGAGGAATTTAAATGAGCTGTCCTTTAGGCTAGTGTACACTACTCTCCTATTTGAGGGGGAGGTAGGAGGGAGGGAGGTAGCAGGGTCCTTACTGCACCGGCCCCTCAGTTCTGACGCCAACATAATGGAAACAGCTTTTTTATCCTTGTGATTTGTGACATTTAATGGTGATTTATTACATTGTACTGATAAAGGTATTTATTTAACTTCTCATGAAAGGATGGCATTGGCACCCTCCTGTAGCACAGTACCACCTGTCACTGGGATATACCTTTAACTGGAGGGAGGGGCTTCCTACTGGCCGTCCTAAACCTCCTACAGCAGAAAGCTGATCTACACTACATGATCAAAAGTATGTGGACACCTGTTCAACAAACATCTCATTCCAAAATCATGGGCATTAATATGGAGTTGGTCCCCCCTTTGCTGCTACAATAGCCTCCACTCTTCTGGGAAGGCTTTCCACTAGATGTTGGAACATTGCTGCGGGGACTTGCTTCCATTCAGCCCCAAGAGCATTAGTTAGGTCGGGCACTGATGTTGGGCAATTAGGTCTGGCTCGCAGTCGGCGTTCCAATTAATCCCAAAGGTGTTCGATGGGGTTGAGGTCAGGGCTCTGTGCAGGCCAGTCAAGTTCTTCCACACCGATCTCGACAAACCATTTCTGTATGGACTTCGCTTTCTGAAACAGGAAAGGGCTTTCCCCAAACTGTTGCCACAAAGTTGGAAGCACAGAATCATCTAGAATGTCATTGTATGCTGTAGCGTTAAGATTTCCCTTCACTGGAGCTAAGGGGCCTAGCCCGAATCATGAAAAACAGCCCCAGACCATTATTCCTCGTCCACCAAACGTTACAGTTGGCGCTATGCATTGTTGCAAGTAGCGTTCTCTTGGCATCCGCCAAACCCAGATTTGTCCGTCGTACTGCCAGATGGTGAAGCGTGATTCATCACTCCAGAGAACGTGTTTCCACTGCTGCAGAGTCTAATGCCGGCTTGCTTTACACCACTCCAGCCGATGCTTGGCATTGCGCATGGTGATCTTAGGCTTGTGTGCGGCTGCTCGGCCATGGAAACCCATTTCATGAAGCTCCCGACTAACAGTTTTGTGCTGATGTTGCTTCCAGAGGCAGTTTGGAACTCGGTAGTGAGTGTTGCAACCGAGGACAGACAATTTTTTTCGCGCTTCAGCACTCGCCGATCCCATTCTGTTAAGTTGTGTGGCCTACCACTTCGCGGCTGAGCCGTTGTTGTTCCTAGACGTTTCCACTTCACAATAACAACACTTACTGTTGACCGGGGCAGCTCTAGCAGGGCAGAAATTTGACAAGCTGAGTAGTTGAAAAGGTGGCATCCTATGACGGTGCCACATTGAAAGTAACTGAGCTCTTCAGTAAGGCCATTCTACTGCCAATGTTTGTCTATGGAGATTGCATGGCTGTGTGCTGATTTTACACACCTGCCAGCAATGGGTGTGGCTGAAATAGCCACTAATTTGAAGGGGTGTCCACATACTTTTGTGTATATATAGTGTGTCTAAAGGGTTTTCACACCAGGTCCAGATCCTGTAGTTATTATCTCCCAGCGTAGAGTTGCATGGACTTTACACTACTTATGTTAAACTTGGGTTAAGACAATCTCTCCATAGGGTTTTTAAATGTTGGATATAGGCCTACATATTTTTGGAAGAATGAAAGAATTCAACAGTCTGTGTTTTAGATGGAAAATCTTAACTAAGTTTAGTAGGTTAGTATTTTAGAATAGGCTAGTTTATGCGTGTGTGGAAACTTTGTGTTCGGGCCTCCAAGAGTCCGCTTTGCGTCGAAGTGTGGAAATGACAAATGATATCATTAATGTGGTTTGTTTTCATAATTGCCGTTACAGCTCTGAGCGCTGGCCTGTAAAAACATCCGTGTTCCTTTTGAAGTTCATTAAGGATGGTTAAGGATCGTGTAATTTGAGGGTGAAGTATTAATGTTTCTGTTCTGTTCTGTCCGGATGGATGTAAAGAGAGAGATTGCATCCCAAATGGCACCCTATTCCCTATATAGTGTGCTGCTGTTGACAGTTCTGGTCAAAAGTAGTGCACTAAATAGGGAATAGTGTGCCATTTGGGATGAAAATCAGAGAGGAACTGGGTCGTCTTAGAAAGGATATTCTAAAAGCCTCCCAGAACCCATCTGCTGCTCGCTAAGCACAGAGCGAGAGGACGGTTATAGTTTCCACTAGCACGTGAACGTGGAAATGTGGCCGTTGAGGAGCAGTTTGAGATTACAGCTTCTGCTGGCAGTGTAATTGCCTAAAGTAGGCTTTAATGAGGACTTCTGTTGCAGAAATATGTTAACCAGAAAAAATCCATTCATGAACGTTGTATGCAGTTTGTTTGTGTATGGTGTTACGCTGGTCCTGTCTGACTGTGTCAGCGATGCTGTTACAATTAGAGAGCCCCTCTCTCTGCTGCGTCAAAAATGGCACCCTATCCATTTTTACATTTGACATTTTTAGTCATTTAGCAGACGCTCTTATCCAGAGCGACTTACAGTTAGTGAGTGCATACATTTTTTCATACTGGCCCCCCTTGGGAATCGAACCCACAACCCTGGTGTTGCAAGCGCCATGATCTACCAACTGATCTACGGGAAGCCCATCCCCTATGGTCCCTGGTCTAAAGTAGTGCACTATATAGGGAATAGGGTGCCATTCTCTGGTCTAAAGTAGTGCACTATATAGGGAATAGGGTGCCATTCTCTGGTCTAAAGTAGTGCACTATATAGGGAATAGGGTGCCCTTTGGGACACAGCCTCTGTGTGTATCTTATAAAGATACTGTCTTGATCCCCGTCCCCTCATCATGTCTGCCTCTCTCTTAGCAGGGCTAGATTACTGCTGGAATGCACACCAGCAATGTCTTGTGGAAAGGCATGAAACAATTTAGAACCAGGACTAAAACCAACTCGATGGATTGGGGGGAAATTACTGTTTGGATTCATTCAGAAATCTATTTTTGCTCAACATGTTTTGTGTTTCAACTATCAGGAACTAGATCAAACCAGATCAAATGAATGTCTTCGATGGATTGTCCTATTGCATCTAGACTGGATTACTGGGTTCCTACATATGATATGAATTATACATGTCAGTGTGTGGACATGCTGCTGAGCTGAGCCCATGTGAAGTTAAGTCAGCCTTAAGTCATTGTCTATCTACAAAAAGCCTTTGTATGGGCACTTTAAAGGTTCCCCTCACAGAGTCTATTGTACACAACTCTTAGCCATACGTCTTACTGACGTTATTATTAGATATGTAAGGGATGTGTTTGATCTGAGCCCATTGTAAATTAAAAAACCTAAGAATAACCATGAAACTCTTACGGAGATGAAACAACAGCTTTAAATCGCTCCATTTCATACAAGGCTCCTATGGGGATTATGGGAAACATAGTTATTAATAGCCCTGGTAAGGACTCTGAGGCCGTCTAGTATCTTGATGACGTGTCCATTGGAAGAGTAAGCTGAGGCTGTAAGAAATGAAGTCAGTGTTAGCCTAACTAGAACAGCCTAGATTAGACCAATAGAACTACTTAGAATTAGACTCATTAGACCTGTGGCTTTTTATTGGAAGGTTTCTGGTCAACCGGTTATCTTCTAGATTGACTAGAATGACCAAGACGGAAGGAAGGAACATGTGTATGTCCAGTTATTTTATACTAGCTATATGTAGTGCTGTGTAGGCTATATGTAGTGCTGTGTAGGCTATATGTAGTGCTGTGTAGGCTATATGTAGTGCTGTGTAGGCTATATGTAGTGCTGTGTAGGCTATATGTAGTGCTGTGTAGGCTATATGTAGTGCTGTGTAGGCTATATGTAGTGCTGTGTAGGCTATATTGTTCTATATATAGGATGTATGTCCATTTATGTCCATTCTCTCAGAGTTCAAGGGGTTTCTTTGAGGAGGTTTTGATAGCAACTATCTCAGAATCAGAATCACCTTTATTCACCGAGTACATTTACTCATACTCTGATTTTGACTTGGTGATATGGTGGTTCTAGAGAGGTCTGTAGTCTGGGTCTAGAGAGGTCTGTAGTGTGGGTCTAGAGAGGTCTGTAGTGTGGGTCTAGAGAGGTCTGTAGTCTGGGTCTAGAGAGGTCTGTAGTCTAGGTCTAGAGAGGTCTGTAGTCTGGGTCTAGAGAGGTCTGTAGTCTGGGTCTAGAGAGGTCTGTAGTCTGGGTCTAGAGAGGTCTGTAGTCTGGGTCTAGAGAGGTCTGTACTCTGGGTCTAGAGAGGTCTGGGTCTAGAGAGGTCTGTAGTCTGGGTCTAGAGAGGTCTGTAGTGTGGGTCTAGAGGTCTGTAGTCTGGGTCTAGAGAGGTCTGTAGTCTGGGTCTAGAGAGGTCTGTAGTCTGGGTCTAGAGGGGTCTATACTCTGGGTCTAGAGAGGTCTGTACTCTGGGTCTAGAGAGGTCTGTACTCTGGGTCTAGAGAGGTCTGTACTCTGGGTCTAGAGAGGTCTGTAGTCTGGGTCTAGAGAGGTCTGTAGTCTGGGTCTAGAGAGGTCTGTAGTCTGGGTCTAGAGAGGTCTGTAGTCTGGGTCTAGAGAGGTCTGTAGTCTGGGTCTAGAGAGGTCTGTAGTCTGGGTCTAGAGAGGTCTGTACTCTGGGTCTAGAGAGGTCTGGGTCTAGAGGTCTGTAGTCTGGATCGAGTGGTCTGTAGTCTGGGTCTAGAGAGGTCTGTAGTCTGGGTCTAGAGGTCTGTAGTCTGGGTCTAGAGAGGTCTGTAGTCTGGGTCTAGAGAGGTCTATACTCTGGGTCTAGAGAGGTCTGTAGTCTGGGTCTAGAGAGGTCTGCGTCTAGAGAGGTCTGGGTCTAGAGAGGTCTGGGTCTAGAGAGGTCTGGGTCTAGAGAGGTCTGGGTCTAGAGAGGTCTGTAGTCTGGGTCTAGAGGTCTGTAGTCTGGGTCTACAGAGGTCTGTACTCTGGGTCTAGAGAGGTCTGTACTCTGGGTCTAGAGAGGTCTGTACTCTGGGTCTAGAGAGGTCTGTAGTCTGGGTCTAGAGAGGTCTGTAGTCTGGGTCTAGAGAGGTCTGTACTCTGGGTCTCGAGAGGTCTGTACTCTGGGTCTAGAGGTCTGTAGTCTGAATCTAGAGGTCTATAGTATGGGTCTAGAGAGGTCTGTAGTCTGGGTCTAGAGGGGTCTGTACTCTGGGTCTAGAGAGGTCTGTACTCTGGGTCTAGAGAGGTCTGTACTCTGGGTCTAGAGAGGTCTGTACTCTGGGTCTAGAGAGGTCTGGGTCTAGAAAGGTCTGTACTCTGGGTCTAGAGAGGTCTGTACTCTGGGTCTAGAGGTCTGTAGTCTGAATCTAGAGGTCTATAGTATGGGTCTAGAGAGGTCTGGGTCTAGAGGGGTCTGTACTCTGGGTCTAGAGAGGTCTGTACTCTGGGTCTAGAGAGGTCTGTACTCTGGGTCTAGAGAGGTCTGGGTCTAGAGAGGTCTGTATTCTGGGTCTAGAGAGGTCTGTACTCTGGGTCTAGAGGTCTGTAGTCTGAATCTAGAGGTCTATAGTATGGGTCTAGAGAGGTCTGGGTCTAGAGGGGTCTGTACTCTGGGTCTAGAGAGGTCTGTACTCTGGGTCTAGAGAGGTCTGTACTCTGGGTCTAGAGAGGTCTGGGTCTAGAGAGGTCTGTATTCTGGGTCTAGAGGTCTGTAGTCTGGATCGAGTGGTCTGTAGTCTGGGTCTAGAGAGGTCTGTAGTCTGGGTCTAGAGGTCTGTAGTCTGGGTCTAGAGAGGTCTGTAGTCTGGGTCTAGAGAGGTCTATACTCTGGGTCTAGAGAGGTCTGTAGTCTGGGTCTAGAGAGGTCTGCGTCTAGAGAGGTCTGGGTCTAGAGAGGTCTGGGTCTAGAGAGGTCTGGGTCTAGAGAGGTCTGTAGTCTGGGTCTAGAGAGGTCTGTACTCTGGGTCTCGAGAGGTCTGTACTCTGGGTCTAGAGGTCTGTAGTCTGAATCTAGAGGTCTATAGTATGGGTCTAGAGAGGTCTGTAGTCTGGGTCTAGAGGGGTCTGTACTCTGGGTCTAGAGAGGTCTGTACTCTGGGTCTAGAGAGGTCTGTAGTCTGGGTCTAGAGAGGTCTGTACTCTGGGTCTAGAGAGGTCTGTACTCTGGGTCTAGAGAGGTCTGTACTCTGGGTCTAGAGAGGTCTGTACTCTGGGTCTAGAGAGGTCTGGGTCTAGAAAGGTCTGTACTCTGGGTCTAGAGAGGTCTGTACTCTGGGTCTAGAGGTCTGTAGTCTGAATCTAGAGGTCTATAGTATGGGTCTAGAGCGGTCTGGGTCTAGAGGGGTCTGTACTCTGGGTCTAGAGAGGTCTGTACTCTGGGTCTAGAGAGGTCTGTACTCTGGGTCTAGAGAGGTCTGGGTCTAGAGAGGTCTGTAGTCTGGGTCTAGAGGTCTGTAGTCTGGATCGAGTGGTCTGTAGTCTGGGTCTAGAGAGGTCTGTAGTCTGAATCTAGAGGTCTATAGTATGGGTCTAGAGAGGTCTGTAGTCTGGGTCTAGAGAGGTCTGTAGTCTGGGTCTAGAGAGGTCTGTAGTCTGGGTCTAGAGAGGTCTGTACTCTGGGTCTAGAGATGTCTGGGTCTAGAGAGGTCTGTAGTCTGGGTCTAGAGAGGTCTGTAGTCTGGGTCTAGAGGTCTGTAGTCTGGGTCTAGAGGTCTGTAGTCTGGGTCTAGAGAGGTCTGTAGTCTGGGTCTAGAGAGGTCTGTAGTCTGGGTCTAGAGAGGTCTGTAGTCTGGGTCTAGAGGTCTGTAGTCTGGGTCTAGAGGTCTGTAGTCTGGGTCTAGAGAGGTCTGTAGTCTGGGTCTAGAGGTCTGTAGTCTGGGTCTAGAGAGGTCTGTAGTCTGGGTCTAGAGAGGTCTGTAGTCTGGGTCTAGAGAGGTCTGTAGTCTGGGTCTAGAGAGGTCTGTACTCTGGGTCTAGAGAGGTCTGTAGTCTGGGTCTAGAGAGGTCTGTAGTCTGGGTCTAGAGAGGTCTGTAGTCTGGGTCTAGAGGTCTGTAGTCTGGGTCTAGAGAGGTCTGTAGTCTGGGTCTAGAGAGGTCTGTAGTCTGGGTCTAGAGAGGTCTGTACTCTCTCCGACTGCCAAACACATTGATTTTCATGCATATTTATAACCTGTATGGTTCCTCCAGCTATAGACTAAATAAAGGACTATGCACTCTATGCTGCACACTGCATCAAGCTATCTCTGAACTGTATTCTAAATAACTGCACTATACTGCATCAAGCTATCTCTGAACTGTACTCTAAATAACTGCACTATACTGCATCAAGCCATCTCTGAACTGTATTCTAAATAACTGCACTATACTGCATCAAGCCATCTCTGAACTGTACTCTAAATAACTGCACTATACTGCATCAAGCCATCTCTGAACTGTACTCTAAATAACTGCACTATACTGCATCAAGCCATCTCTGAACTGTACTCTAAATAACTGCACTATACTGCATCAAGCCATCTCTGAACTGTACTCTAAATAACTGCACTATACTGCATCAAGCCATCTCTGAACTGTACTCTAAATATCTGCACTATACTGTTTTTGCACTCTGTTCATCTCTCTGCATTTAGATATATTTAGATATATTGATACTGTACATTTGTACATCCACTGTGTATCATCCGTATATCCGCTGTATATCATCCGTATATCCGCTGATTATCATCCGTATATCCGCTGTATATCATCCATATATCTGCTGTATATCATCCGTATATCAGCTGTATATCATCCGTATATCAGCTGTATATCATCCGTATATCCGCTGTATATCATCCGTATATCCGCTGTATATCATCCGTATATCCGCTGTATATCATCCGTATATCCGCTGTATATCATCCGTATATCCGCTGTATATCATCCGTATATCCGCTGTATATGAGCTGTATGTCATCCGTATATCAGCTGTATATCATCCGTATATCAGCTGTATATCATCCGTATATCAGCTGTATATCATCCGTATATCCGCTGTATATCATCCGTATATCCGCTGTATATCATCCGTATATCCGCTGTATATCATCCGTATATCCGCTGTATATCATCTGCATATCTGCTGTATATCATCCGTATACCCGCTGTATATCATCCGTATATCCGCTGTATATCATCCGTATATCCGCTGTATATCATCCGTATATCCGCTGTATATGAGCTGTATGTCATCCGTATATATGCTGTATATCATCCGTATATCAGCTGTATATCATCCGTATATCCGCTGTATATCATCCGTATATCCGCTGTATATCATCCGTATATCCGCTGTATATCATCCGTATATCCGCTGTATATGAGCTGTATGTCATCCGTATATATGCTGTATATCATCCGTATATCATCCGTATATCCGCTGTATATCATCCGTATATCCGCTGTATATCATCCGTATATCCGCTGTATATCATCCGTATATCCGCTGTATATCATCCGTATATCCGCTGTATATCATCCGTATATCCGCTGTATATCATCCGTATATCCGCTGTATATCATCTGTATATCCGCTGTATATCATCTGCATATCTGCTGTATATCATCCGTATACCCGCTGTATATCATCCGTATATCCGCTGTATATCATCTGCATATCTGCTGTATATCATCCGTATATCAGCTGTATATCATCCGTATATCCGCTGTATATCATCCGTATATCCGCTGTATATCATCCATATATCCGCTGTATATCATCCGTATATCCGCTGTATATCATCCGTATATCCGCTGTATATCATCCGTATATCTGCTGTATATCATCCGTATATCCGCTGTATATGAGCTGTATGTCATCCGTATATATGCTGTATATCATCCGTATATCAGCTGTATATCATCCGTATATCCGCTGTATATGATCCGTATATCCGCTGTATATCATCCGTATATCCGCTGTATATGAGCTGTATGTCATCCGTATATATGCTGTATATCATCCGTATATCAGCTGTATATCATCCGTATATCCGCTGTATATCATCCGTATATCCGCTGTATATCATCCGTATATCCGCTGTATATCATCCGTATATCCGCTGTATATCATCCGTATATCCGCTGTATATCATCCGTATATCCGCTGTATATCATCCGTATATCCGCTGTATATCATCCGTATATCCGCTGTATATCATCTGCATATCTGCTGTATATCATCCGTATACCCGCTGTATATCATCCGTATATCATCCGTATACCCGCTGTATATCATCCGTATATCCGCTGTATATTTGTCTATCTGCTTATTCTCTTATGGCTCTATGTGCCAGGGGGTTGAGGTCAGGGCTCTACGTGCCAGTCAAGTTCTTCCACATCGATCTCGACAAACCATTTCTGTATGGACCTCGCTTTGTGCATGGGGGCATTGTCATGCTGAAACAGGAAAGGGCCTTCCCCAAACCGTTGCCACAAAGTTGGAAGCACAGAATCGTCTAGAATGTAATTGTATGCTGTAGCGTTAAGATTTCCCTTCACTGGAACTAAGGGGCCTAGCCCGAACCATGAAAAACAGCCCCAGACCATTATTCCTCCTCTACCAACCTTTACAGTTGGCACTATGCATTGGGGCAGGTAGCGTTCTCCTGGCATTCGCCAAACCCAGATTCGTCTGTCGGACTGCCAGATGGTGAAGCGTGATTCATCACTCCAGAGAACGGGTTTCCACTGCTCCAGAGTCCAATGGCAGCGAGCTTTACACCACTCCAGCCGACGCTTGGCATTACGCATGGTGATCTTAGGCTTGTGTGCGGCTGCTGGGCCATGGAAACCCATCTTCTAACAAGTGGTTGGTTCAGAATGATAAGTACTGTATGTGTGGGAGAGAATATCTGCTCTGTTCTGTTGGTGGTGTGATGATGCCCACCATACATTTAGATGTAAACACTACTGCTCCTTCAGTTTCTATAAAACATGACAACGTGTCTTGCTCTCAAGACTCACCCCACAGTCCCACAGAACAGGCCCATCATCTAACCCCACAGTCACACAGAACAGGCCCATCATCTAACCCCACAGTCCCACAGAACAGGCCCATCATCAAACCCCACAGTCCCACAGAACAGGCCCATCATCTAACCCCACAGTCCCACAGAGCAGGCCCATCATCTAACCCCACAGTCCCACAGAACAGGCCCATCACCTAACCCCACAGTCCCACAGAACAGGCCCATCATCTGACCCCACAGTCCCACAGAACAGGCCCATCATCGAACCCCACAGTCCCACAGAACAGACCCATCATCTAACCCCACAGTCCCACAGAACAGACCCATCATCTAACCCCACAGTCCCACAGAACAGGCCCATCATCTAACCCCACAGTCCCACAGAACAGACAATCATCTAACCCCACAGTCCCACAGAACAGGCCCATCATCTAACCACACAGTCCCACAGAACAGACCCATCATCTAACCCCACAGTCCCACAGAACAGACCCATCATCTAACCCCACAGTCCCACAGAACAGGCCCATCATCTAACCCCACAGTCCCACAGAACAGACCCATCATCTAACCCCACAGTCCCACAGAACAGACCCATCATCTAATCCCACAGTCCCACAGAACAGGCCCATCATCGAACCCCACAGTCCCACAGAACAGGCCCATCATCTAACCCCACAGTCCCACAGAACAGGCCCATCATCTGGCTTCAAGCTTAACACTCTCTCCAGTTAAACGGATAAAAAACATATTGCGGAGAGGACAGAATTCCCCAAGACGTTGTGGTGGTCTAGGGTAACGTCCCAAATGGCACCCTATTCCCTATATAGTGCACTACTTTAGACCAGAGAATGGAACCCTATTCCCTATATAGTGCACTACTTTAGACCAGAGAATGGCACCCTATTCCCTCTATAGTGCACTACTTTAGACCAGAGAATGGCACCCTATTCTCTATATAGTGCACTACTTTAGACCAGAGAATGGCACCCTATTCCCTCTATAGTGCACTACTTTAGACCAGAGAATGGCACCCTATTCCCTCTATAGTGCACTACTTTAGACCAGAGAATGGCACCCTATTCCCTCTATAGTGCACTACTTTAGACCAGAGAATGGCACCCTATTCCCTCTATAGTGCACTACTTTTCTAGGGCAGCCCTGTGGGTGGGTGCACTATAGAGGGAATAGGGTGCCATTTGGGACGCAGCCTAGCTGGTAATTAAACAGTTCACAGCTAGCAGAGAGAGAGTTCTCGTTTTATTTTAGGAGACAAGAGATAAGACTGGGTTTTCCAGATGAGGTCTTGGCTGGGTTTGGCGGCACTGTGCTGCTTGATCTGTTCAGTTTTACCGCCATCAGTGGATTCACTCCTGATGTGGATGTTCTGATTGATGCTTTGCCTCAAGATGATTTGGGGAGGTTCTCCCTCAACTCCCCTCCCCTCCCCTTCTCTCCCTCCATCCCTCCCTCTGAGACTTGTTGGTTTGGCACCGTTCACCACCAGGCCTTAATTCTGCAGCAGTATCAAGATTCCTTTCAAACTATTTTTAGTGCCTCTCTCCCTCTTCACACAACCTCCCTGCTTCTAAATAATGGCTAATACATGTGAATTAGGGCTCCTTTTCACTGGGAACCCAAGCTGTTATTCCACTACACTCTATTTTCCTATAGAGGTTACTCAACCCAACATGCCTTTATATAAGCTGCTACCCCTTTGTTATAATGTAGTGGTCCTCTGTAGCTCAATTAGTAGAGCGTGATGCTTGTAACGCCAGGGTAGTGGGTTCGATCCCCGGGACCACCCATACAAAAATGTATGCACACATGACTATAAGTCGCTTAGGATAAAAGCGTCTGCTATATGGCATATTATTATTATTATTATTATTATTATTATTATTATTATTATTATTATTATTATGTACTGATGAATTACTGAAATATACGTCAACATCATCTGTCATATGTTTTAAAGGGTTATTAAAGCAACACTATCCAGGACCATGGAGTTTAAACTGTAGTATGGTTTGTAACCTTAACTACCCTGCTGTCTGCCTGCCGTTGGTTGGTTCATACCAGAAGCTGCTCTTCTGGATGGATGCTACCATTCTACCAGCTGTGGTTTCCCACCCAGGAGTTCAACCCACAACCCAGTGATTACCCAACCAGAGACCAGAGATATTGTGTGTGAGCCTGTCTGGGCTGACTGGGTTAAGTGCTGCCTCCCTCCTTCCCTCCTGTCTGTCAGGGACGGCCATCGCACTGTACTGTTTCTAGGCTATCAATTTACAATTGAGTCATTTAGCAGACGCTCTTATGCCGAGCGACTTACAGTAGTGAGTGCATACATTTTCGTACTATGTCTGGCTGGTCTAAAGTAGTGCACTAAACAGGGAATAGGGCACCATTTAGGACGCAGCCCCCTATACAGTTTTTTCTCCTCCTATCTTCCTATTGATGGGCTTGAACCAGTTCCTGATGGGGAACACACACCGGTGTAAGACAGTCATTCTGTTACTATGGTGTAATATGTAGAAACAGTACCGTTTTCTCAGAGAAAGGCCCAGGGTTCGTCCCAAATGGCACCCTATTCCCTATATAGTGGTCAAAATTAGTGCACTATATAGGGAATAGGGTGCCATTTGGATCACACCCTCAGAGAAAGGCCCCTCCAGTGCCCTGACTGTCCATGTTTTCCTCCTCTGTGAAGCTGACTGACTGTCCATGTTCTCCTCCTCTGTGAAGCTGACTGACTGTCCATGTTCTCCTCCTCTGTGAAGCTGACTGACTGTCCATGTTCTCCTCTGAGAAGCTGACTGACTGTCCATGTTCTCCTCCTCTGTGAAGCTGACTGACTGTCCATGTTCTCCTCCTCTGTGAAGCTGACTGACTGTCCATGTTCTCCTCCTCTGTGAAGCTGACTGACTGTCCATGTTCTCCTCCTCTGTGAATCTGACTGACTGTCCATGTTCTCCTCCTCTGTGAAGCTGACTGACTGTCCATGTTCTCCTCCTCTGTGAAGATGACTGACTGTCCATGTTCTCCTCCTCTGTGAAGCTGACTGACTGTCCATGTTCTCCTCCTCTTTGAAGCTGACTGACTGTCCATGTTCTCCTCCTCTGTGAAGCTAGGTACATAAATGGAGAAGTGGAGCTAGGAAAAGAAAGCAGGCTGTGGAAGTTTGTAATCAGATAGCACAAACTGGATAATCTCTGTCCCAATGCCGTCCGGAAAGCTTGCCTTTGATTCGGCAGCTGGAGGAGAGCAAATGGCTTATAGAGATTCCTCTCCATAAAGCCGTCTGATCAGCAAGCAGGGGAGGAGAGGAGGGCTGGGCTGGGCCTTTCCTTCAGGAGGGAGGAGGAGAGGAGTAGTGGAGCGCTGGGCCTTTCCTTCAGGAGGAGGAGGAGAGGAGTAGTGGAGCGCTGGGCCTTTCCTTCAGGAGGAGAGGAGTAGTGGAGCGCTGGGCCTTTCCTTCAAGAGGAGGAGAGGAGTAGTGGAGCACTGGGCCTTTCCTTCAGGAGGAGGAGGAGAGGAGTAGTGGAGCGCTGGGCCTTTCCTTCAGGAGGGAGGAGGAGAGGAGTAGTGGAGCGCTGGGCCTTTCCTTCAGGAGGAGGAGGAGAGGAGTAGTGGAGCGCTGGGCCTTTCCTTCAGGAGGAGGAGGAGAGGAGTAGTGGAGCGCTGGGCCTTTCCTTCAGGAGGAGGAGGAGAGGAGTAGTGGAGCGCTGGGCCTTTCCTTCAGGAGGGAGGAGGAGAGGAGTAGTGGAGTGCTGGGCCTTTCCTTCAGGAGGGAGGAGGAGAGGAGTAGTGCAGCGCTGGGCCTTTCCTTCAGGAGGAGGAGGAGAGGAGTAGTGGAGCGCTGGGCCTTTCCTTCAGGAGGAGGAGGAGAGGAGTAGTGGAGCGCTGGGCCTTTCCTTCAGGAGGGAGGAGGAGGAGAGGAGTAGTGGAGTGCTGGGCCTTTCCTTCAGGAGGGAGGAGGAGAGGAGTAGTGGAGCGCTGGGCCTTTCCTTCAGGAGGAGGAGGAGAGGAGTAGTGGAGCGCTGGGCCTTTCCTTCAGGAGGGAGGAGGAGAGGAGTAGTGGAGCGCTGGGCCTTTCCTTCAGGAGGGAGGAGGAGAGGAGTAGTGGAGCGCTGGGCCTTTCCTTCAGGAGGGAGGAGGAGAGGAGTAGTGGAGCGCTGGGCCTTTCCTTCAGGAGGAGGAGGAGAGGAGTAGTGGAGCGCTGGGCCTTTCCTTCAGGAGGGAGGAGGAGAGGAGTAGTGGAGCGCTGGGCCTTTCCTTCAGGAGGAGGAGGAGAGGAGTAGTGGAGCGCTGGGCCTTTCCTTCAGGAGGGAGGAGGAGAGGAGTAGTGGAGCGCTGGGCCTTTCCTTCAGGAGGGAGGAGGAGAGGAGTAGTGGAGCGCTGGGCCTTTCCTTCAGGAGGAGGAGGAGAGGAGTAGTGGAGCGCTGGGCCTTTCCTTCAGGAGGGAGGAGGAGGAGAGGAGTAGTGGAGCGCTGGGCCTTTCCTTCTGGAGGGAGGAGGAGAGGAGTAGTGGAGCGCTGGGCCTTTCCTTCAGGAGGAGGAGGAGAGGAGTAGTGGAGCGCTGGGCCTTTCCTTCAGGAGAGAGGAGGACGAGTAGTGGAGCACTGGGCCTTTCCTTCAGGAGGGAGAAGGAGAGGAGTAGTGGAGCGCTGGGCCTTTCCTTCAGGAGAGAGGAGGACGAGTAGTGGAGCACTGGGCCTTTCCTTCAGGAGGGAGGAGGAGAGGAGTAGTGGATCGCTGGGCCTTTCCTTCAGGAGGGAGGAGGAGAGGAGTAGTGGAGCGCTGGGCCTTTCCTTCAAGAGGAGGAGAGGAGTAGTGGAGCACTGGGCCTTTCCTTCAGGAGGGAGGAGGAGAGGAGTAGTGGAGTGCTGGGCCTTTCCTTCAGGAGAGAGGAGGAGAGGAGTAGTGGAGCGCTGGGCCTTTCCTTCAGGAGGGAGGAGGAGAGGAGTAGTGGAGTGCTGGGCCTTTCCTTCAGGAGAGAGGAGGAGAGGAGTAGTGGAGCGCTGGGCCTTTCCTTCAGGAGGAGGAGGAGAGGAGTAGTGGAGCGCTGGGCCTTTCCTTCAGGAGAGAGGAGGAGAGGAGTAGTGGAGCACTGGGCCTTTCCTTCAGGAGGAGGAGGAGAGGAGTAGTGGAGCGCTGGGCCTTTCCTTCAGGAGGGAGGAGGAGAGGAGTAGTGGAGCGCTGGGCCTTTCCTTCAGGAGGGAGGAGGAGAGGAGTAGTGGAGTGCTGGGCCTTTCCTTCAAGAGGAGGAGAGGAGTAGTGGAGCACTGGGCCTTTCCTTCAGGAGGGAGGAGGAGAGGAGTAGTGGAGTGCTGGTCCTTTCCTTCAGGAGGGAGAAAGAGAGGAGTAGTGGAGCGCTGGGCCTTTCCTTCAGGAGGGAGGAGGAGGAGGCAAGGAGAAGAGAAGAAATGCAGTTTTAGACATTTTGTATTGTTTAATTTGTAACCCCTTTTAGCTAGTAACTTTTTCCTAACCTTCTGGCCTGTTCTACTGCTCCAGTGACATGTTCTAAAGGTTGATACCTCAGGCTGTGAGTCAGGGCATCAAGCTGTCCCTAACCCTGCAGGGGGTTCTATATTAGTACTACAGTATTCCTCTGGGGGTACTATGTTAGTACTACAGTATTCCTCTGGGGGTTCTATGTTAGTACTACAGTACTCCTCTGGGGGTACTATGTTAGTACTACAGTACTCCTCTGGGGGTTCTATGTTAATACTACAGTACTCCTCTGGGGGTACTATGTTAGTACTACAGTACTCCTCTGGGGGTTCTATATTAGTACTACAGTACTCCTCTGGGGATACTATGTTAGTACTACAGTACTCCTATGGGGGTACTATGTTAGTACTACAGTACTCCTCTGGGGATACTATGTTAGTACTACAGTACTCCTCTGGGGGTTCTATATTAGTACTACAGTACTCCTCTGGGGATACTATGTTAGTACTACAGTACTCCTCTGGGGGTACTATGTTAGTACCACAGTACTCCTCTGGGGGTACTATGTTAGTACTACAGTACTCCTCTGGGGATACTATGTTAGTACTACAGTACTCCTCTGGGGATACTATGTTAGTACTACAGTACTCCTCTGGGGATACTATGTTAGTACTACAGTACTTCTCTGGGGGTACTATGTTAGTACTACAGTACTCCTCTGGGGGTTCTATATTAGTACTACAGTACTCCTCTGGGGATACTATGTTAGTACTACAGTACTCCTCTGGGGGTTCTATGTTAGTACTACAGTACACCTCTGGGGGTACTATGTTAGTACTACAGTACTCCTCTGGGGGTTCTATGTTAGTACTACAGTACTCCTCTGGGGGTACTATGTTAGTACTACAGTACTCCTCTGGGGATACTGTGTTAGTACTACAGTACTCCTCTGGGGGTACTATATTAGTACTACAGTACTCCTCTGGGGGTACTATGTTAGTACTACAGTACTCCTCTGGGGGTTCTATATTAGTACTACAGTACTCCTCTGGGGGTACTATGTTAGTACTACAGTACTCCTCTGGGGGTTCTATGTTAGTACTACAGTACTCCTCTGGGGGTACTATGTTAGTACTACAGTACTCCTCTGGGGGTACTATGTTAGTACTACAGTACTCCTCTGGGGATACTATGTTAGTACTACAGTACTCCTCTGGGGGTTCTATATTAGTACTACAGTACTCCTCTGAGGGTACTATGTTAGTACTACAGTACTCCTCTGGGGGTTCTATATTAGTACTACAGTACTCCTCTGGGGGTTCTATATTAGTACTACAGTACTCCTCTGGGGGTTCTATATTAGTACTACAGTACTCCTCTGGGGGTTCTATATTAGTACTACAGTACTCCTCTGGGGGTCCTCTCTCTGCTACTAATGTATGTAGTCTAGACTCTAGTCTGTTGAAGTTCAATGGACCTCTTTGCAATTCATAATATATACCATTTAGCAAACTCTTTTATACAAAGCAACTTAGTCATGCATGCATCGTCTATGGTGGTATTGTATGTTGTCCTGTTCACTGTTGCAATGTTATGCCTCTTGGCCAGGTCCATATTTTAAATAATAATTGGTTCTCAATTGACTTATCTGGTTAAATAAATGTTAAATAAAAATAAATCAAATCAAATCTGCAGAAGGCCGCCGATGGTGAAGTGTGTCTTTAGTACCCTGGTTCTGAGTCTGTGAGAGTTGGGTTTAGTAAGCCAGTGTTGATGACGGAGGTCCGGGCTTACGGTTACTGCTCTCGTCAGACTCTGACACAGACAGGAAAGCAGTGGGGAAACTAAACCCTCAGCTTCCTGCAGTCAGTGAGTCAGGCCACTGAAGTGGTGATCAATACATGGTGGACAGGATGCTCCGCGCTGCAGACTAATCCTCCTCCAGAGGCCATCCGGACTGCAGTCTGCAGACAGATTACGTTACATTTAGGAAATCTGCGTTGCGTTTAGGGTTAAGGGCCTTCCATTGCATTTAGGGAATCTGCATTGCGTTCAGGGTTAACAGCCTCCATTGCGTTTAGGGGTTAGGGGTCCTGTATTACGCTTGGTTGAGCTGACATTGGCTTTATGTTTAGGGGTTTTAAATTGCAGTTAGGGAAAGGGATCTTGGTTACAATCCATTTAGTTTATCTGTGTATAACAGTTTTAGGTTAGAGATCTGGCGTTGTGTTTAGGGATAGACTTCTCTTTAGACTTTAGGATCATCCCCACTCTACAACTTTTAGGGCCAGTTTCCCGGACACAGATTAATCCCATTCCTGGACTAAAGAGGACTTCATTTTGAGATTCTCCTTTTAGTCCATATTTTTTGGTCCAGGAGTCGGCTTAATACATGTCCGGGAAACCAGTCCACATATGTTAGATGGAGTGATTGGATGTGGGTAGAATTGTCTAGTTCTGTGAAGGGGGCACTTGAAGAGGGAGTCCAGTGGAAGTCCTCGTAGAAGTGTCTCAGTGAACAATCCTAGGGTTGTATGACGCTGTGTTCCACAAACTGTGGGTGGTCTCCTGGGCTGAGTGGTAGCTCCATTTAGCAGACCTTCACCCCTCTGAACCCGGAATCATTCCACTCTCATTATAGCAGTGATGACACCATATAAGGCAGGACATTTTTATTAGATTCTAACCAATACACCTAGTGATGCTAGCAGAGAAAGCCCCAGTGCTACTTGATTCAGGCTAAAAACAGAGATTTTCTTTTCACTAAATTGTACTGAATATTTTGTATGTTCTCTGAAAGTAGAGGGATTCCTGTCCTTGGCTCGTTGGTATATTGTGGTGAGTAAAGTTTCAGGATCCACTTCGCCTCAGAGGGAGAGGGAGAGAGAGAGGGTGTGAGTGAGTGCGCGCGTGTGTGTTTGAGTAGGTAGTGTTTGCTTTCATCTGGGCCAGCCCCGTCTCCGTGACATGTAGGGGTGGTGGGAATAGAAGAATGCAGTATGAATAATTGCACAACATGTCTCTCTTCATGGTGGGGGAGAGGGACAAAAGGATTGTGGAGGCATATGGTTAGCTGAAATGATAATAAACATTGTATGCTTGGAGACGTGTATTGCCTGCCTGACACTGACCACATTGCTTCTTAAAATGACCAACATGATAAGAATTTACATGTGTTATAATTATGTTGTAATTGCTTAAAAGTCTTTCACCAAACTTTGAGACAGTTATAATTTCCAGCTGACAGGGAGAGGATTGGGTGTTCTCTCTCAGTACTCTGCTGCGTTTTGGCCTTCTTGTTGAGAGAGACGCAAGGAGAACACACTGGCTTCTGGCCTAGAGGCTGGGGCAGGCCTCTGTTGTATTGCTGTAATGCATGATTCATCCAAAACATTATGAAGACATGAAACATGTCTCATCAGATTATATTGATATAGACATTGACATCCCTGAACTGGAGGATGATACAGTGATGTACTGTAGTAGCATGCTCCTAAGTTCAAATAGCTGTCAGTTATTTGGACCTGAATAGTTTGATATGTACAGGACTTGACACATGTTGTTCTCTAAGAAGCTAGCTACAGTAGACCTGTTGGAGTCTAGCATACTAAACCTCCCTCAGAGGGCTTTATGTTACCACAGCATGACAACACTTGGCTCCTAACAGGGGGAGAATAGGTCCAGAGACACCCATGTTCAAGTTATTTGCCATTTGGAATAAATACATTGGAAATCTTTCTGACATAGACAGAGAGAGACCCATTGAACCTTCCACAGGCCTCTCCTCCTTGAGTATAGGGTGTCCAATCAAAATATTTGGACCAATGGGTAAAATAATGTTAATTGTGTAGATAATCCTCTACGAAAACCAACGGTCCAAACCTCATGTCTCTAACATAATCCGTTCAAAATGTATTTTACCCTTGTGGGATGGTCAACATTAGGGTGACTAAATCATTGGAGGCCAGAGAAAAAAGTTGTCAAACAGTAAATCAGGAAAATAGCATTGCATCAGCTAGGCTGGATGCTGTGAGAGAATGAATGCTACCTGAGAGGCTCACCGTTGAACTCCTCATCTTTCTTTTCAAATCCGCAGGACATAAAACAATATAGAGGTAAGATAGATATCGATTTTGAGACATTACATGTAGTATTTTCATATTTTAGTATACGCTGTTCATATTAATGCGACCTAACTGTTATTTTTCGAAAAAACGTCTCACAAAAACAAGCGTATCTCTGTGAAATGTCTGAGGGCTGTTCTTATGCACGACACAACGCGGTGTGCCTGGATACAGCCGTTAGCCGTGGTATATTGGCCATATACCACAAACCCCCGAGGTGCCTTATTGCTATTATAAACTGGTTGCCAACATAATTAGAACAGTAAATACCTGTGGTATATGGTCTGGTATACCACGGCTTTCAGCCAATCAGCATTCAGGGCTCGAACAGCCCAGTTTATAATTGTCTTTATCCAACGGGTGGGTCTAATCCTGGACGCTGATTGGTTAAAACCACATTCCAGCCAGTGTCTATTCCACAAGTAACCACCAGCTAAATCTATGACGTTAAAATGCCTATTTACTCTGTTCCATCTCACTGGGCAATCCACTGTCTCATCAGCCCAGCCAGACAATTTATAAACATGATCTCAACTATAAAAAGCATCTAGACATTATCTCCTATTTCTTTTAGACTAGCAATTGGCTTTCAATAGTGGAGAATTGTATAAACCTTGCTGTCTGTCTATCTGACATTTGCAACATTGTTTCAATATTGAAATTCGATCTCCAGCTGTCCTATGGTAATGAACGTGTCAGGAGTCGGGACGAGATAGACAGGCAGGCAGCGTTTCTCAGCCAGTTGAAATCATGAATCAGCTGGCATCATTTTTATGGATATATACAAAGAAATGTCAATAGAAAATAGGTAAAACAAACAAAGTGCAGCTAGTTTGTAGTCTTTCCAGCTTCAATTTGAAGTGATTGTGTTAGCTGTGTTGTTGGCTAGCTCCTCTGAACAACAGTGTCCTGACGAGTGAGCACATTTTCTATGCCAGGCGAAATCACGCCTCATTAGCTCATTGTTATAGATGTATCCAAATAGCGTCACTAGAAAACAGCTTGAACAAATGCAAATGCTACTTTGCTGTTATTCTGGCTGCACCTTTTGACGTGACTAAGTTAGCCGTAGTTGGCTAGCTAGCAAGCAAGGAATAAGAACGTTGCCAGCCAGTAAGGCAATGGAACATTTAGAACGAACGACTGGGTCGTGTCCATAGATACAGAACAAAAAGACTGAACGACTGGGTCGCTTCTCTGGTAACCGAACCGATCGAACGAATGACCAGCCGGCTTGGGTAGCAACCCTAGATTTGTATCGGGACTATACTACCAGTCAAAAGTTTGGACACACCTACTCATTCAAGGATTTTTCTTTATTTTTTTACGATTTTCTACATAGTATAATAATAGTGAAGACATCAAAACTATGAAATAATACATATGGAATCATGTAGTAACCAAAAAAGTGTTAAATAAATCAAAATATATTTGAGACTCTTCAAATAGCCACCCTTTGCCTTGATGACAGCTTTGCACACTCTTGGCATTCTCTCAACCAGCTTCATGACGTAGTCACCAGGAATCCATTTCAATTAACAGGTGTGCCTTCTTAAAAGTTAATTTGTGGAATTGTTTTCATTCTTAATGCGTTTGAGCCAATCAGTTGTGTTGTGACAAGGTAGGGGGGGGTATACAGAAGATGGCCCTATTTGGTAAAAGACCAAGTCCATATTATGGCAAGAACAGCTCAAATAAGCAAAGAGAAACGACAGTCCATCATTACTTTAAGACATGAAGGTCAGTCAATACAGAACATTTCAATAACTTTGAAAGTTAATTCAAGTGCAGTCGCAAAAACCATCAAGCGGTATAGTGAAACTGGCTCTCATGAGGACCGCCACAGGAATGGAAGACCCAGAGTTACCTCTGCTGCAGAGGATAAGTTCATTAAAGTTACCAGCCTCAGAAATTGCAGCCCAAATAAATGCTTCACAGAGTTGAAGTAATAGACACATCTCAACATCAACTGTTCAGAGGAGACTGTGTGAATCAGGCCTTCATGGTCGAATTGCTGCAAAGAAACCACTACTAAAGGACACCAATAAGAAGAAGAGACTTGCTTGGGCCAAGAAACACGAGTAATAGACATTAGACCGGTGGAGATTTGTTCTTTGGTCTAGAGTCCAAATTTGAGATTTTTGGTTCCAACCGCCGTGTCTTTGTGAGATGCGGTGTGAGTGAACGGATGATCTCCGCATGTGTATTTCCCACCGTAAAGCATGGAGGAGGAGGAGGTGTTATGGTGTGGGGGTGCTTTGCTGGTGACACTGTCTGTGATTTATTTAGAATTCAAGGCACACTTAACCAGCATGGCTACCACAGCATTCTGCAGCGATACGACATCCCATCTGGTTTGGGCTTAGTGGGACTATCATTTGTTTTTCAACAGGACAATGACCCAACACACCTCCAGGCTGTGTAAGGGCTATTTGACCAAGATGGAGAGTGATGGAGTGCTGCATCAGATGACCTGGCCTCCACAATCCCCCGACCTCAACCCAATTGAGATGGTTTCGGATGAGTTGGACGGCAGAGTGAAGGAAAAGCAGCCAACAAGTGCTCAGCATATGTGTGAATTCCTTCAAGACAGTTGGAAAAGCATTCCAGGTGAAGCTGGTTGAGAGAATGCCAAGAGTGTGCAAAGCTGTCATCAACGCAAAGGGTGGCTATTTGAAGAATCTCAAATATATTTTGATTTGTTTAACACTTCTTTGGTGACTACATGATTCCATATGTGTTATTTCATAGTTTTGATGTCTTCACTATTATTCCACAATGTAGAAAATAGTAAAAATAAAGAAAAACCCTTGAATGAGTAGGTGTGTCCAAACTTTTGACTGGTACTGTATATCTTGTGGAAGGATGAAATAGTATGAATAAATTCATCAAAACAATATTTTTTATGTAAATATGTAAATCATTATTTGAATATGTTGGTAACCCGTTGTATGAAAGTGATAATGCCCTTGAAGCCGGTGTTTGGAGGTTATATTGGCACGGTTTGCCTTAACTTCGTCTCGGGCCTAACAACACCTGTGCCAATATATCCTCCAAACACCAGCTTCTCAGGAATTATCATTAATGGTAAAATGTATTTTATAACATAAGGAAGTGAAATGTCATCACCACCCCCTACTGAGTGCCCTCTATGATGGTGGAATGTTCTGTAGAGACGTGGTACCGGTGTGTGGGAGGGGTGAAGAGAAAGGACACAAACTATAGTCGCTAGTTCTAATCCCCGAGCCGACTAGGTGAAAAATCTGTCGATGTGCCTTTGAGCAAGGCACTCAACCCTAATTGCTCCTGTAAGTTGCTCTGGATAAGAGCGTCTGCTAAATGACTAAAATGTAAAAATGTAAAAAAATAGGTTGCTTACTGGTTAGTAGCTTTGCTAGCTAGCTTTAGAAACGAAGCTAGTGAGTTAATCATCTTTGGTAGCTAGCTAGCTAATGTAAGCTAGCAAGCTGGCTATCTTTGGCAACGAAGCCGGCTGGCTAGCTAGCTCTTTAGCTGAGTGAGTTTCATCAAAGATATTGCAGTTTGGCCTATTCCTTTAGGTTATGTTTGCTTGCTAATTACTTTGCCAGTTGTATTTACCATTGGAATATACCTAATGTATGTTTATGTAGTTCTATAGGCTTGGTCTCTCCATAAGAACTCCAGTGCAGTCAGTGCAGCTGCACCTCCCATGTGCAATTAAGTTGTCAAAATAGCCTCAGCCACCACTTGTACCGCTCTCTGAGGTTGGTTGTTACACCACTTAGCCTTGCTCATGTCTTGTATCATATACCTAATACACTGTAGTGGGGCTGGTGATGTATATCATCTCCCTAATACACTGTAGTGGGGCTGGTGATGTATATCATATACCTAATACACTGTAGTGGGACTGGTGATGTATATCATATACCTAATACACTGTAGTGGGACTGGTGATGTATATCATCTCCCTAATACACTGTAGTGGGGCTGGTGATGTATATCATATACCTAATACACTGTAGTGGGACTGGTGATGTATATCATATACCTAATACACTGTAGTGGGACTGGTGATGTATATCATATACCTAATACACTGTAGTGGGACTGGTGATGTATATCATATACCTAATACACTGTAGTGGGACTGGTGATGTATATCATATACCTAATACACTGTAGTGGGACTGGTGATGTATATCATATACCTAATACACTGTAGTGGGGCTGGTGATGTATATCATATACCTAATACACTGTAGTGGGACTGGTGATGTATATCATATACCTAATACACTGTAGTGGGACTGGTGATGTATATCATATACCTAATACACTGTAGTGGGACTGGTGATGTATATCATATACCTAATACACTGTAGTGGGACTGGTGATGTATATCATATACCTAATACACTGTAGTGGGACTGGTGATGTATATCATATACCTAATACACTGTAGTGGGACTGGTGATGTATATCATATACCTAATACACTGTAGTGGGACTGGTGATGTATATCATATACCTAATACACTGTAGTGGGGCTGGTGATGTATATCATATACCTAATACACTGTAGTGGGACTGGTGATGTATATCATATACCTAATACACTGTAGTGGGACTGGTGATGTATATCATATACCTAATACACTGTAGTGATGGGCAAAGTCAGTTTAGGGAAAGATTCCATTTGGGGTTGATGAATGATATCCCTCACTTATCTCAATGGCTTCAGTTTGGAAGATATTTCTGTGATGTTCATTATAAGCTAGAATACGTTGTTTCAATGCGTTTGAATAATGTTATTATGCAGTTAGTAAAATGTGTGACAAATAGAGGAGGAAAGACAAAACAAGAAGCAAACTGCCAGATGACCAGACCATCAGTCACATCCTTAGATCTTAACCATAAATATTAGACATTAATGAACGGTTCCCATTAAAGGCTGTGGTTGGGATTTTCCCCTTTCTGCTGTGAGGAAGAGAGGGTGAGTGTGTGCGAGTGAAAAAGAGTGTGGTGTGTGAGTCTCAGTGCAGAGTGCTTTATTGTAGCTAACACATTGCAGTTATTAGCATCGGGTGGTAGCTGTGGCTGTGCCAGCAAGGCAGAATGCTTCACATGCTCAGGCTGGGCTTGTGGTTGGCTGATGGAGACATCTGAAGGACCAGAGCCTCTCAGATCTAATTCAGGAACTATTTCTCCCTCTCTACCATTCCCATTCTGTTGCTCTCACTCTCTCTTTTCTCTACCTCTCTCTCGCTCTCTCCCCCTCTCGCTCTCTCGCTCTCCCTCTGTTCCGCTCCTTCTCTCGCTCTCTCTACCCCCCCTTTCCCCTCTCGCTCTCTCCCTTTCCCTCCCCCTCTCTCCCTCTCCCTCTCCCTCTGAATACTTATGTAAATGTGGGGTTATGTTTGTAGCTTGATGAGGGGAAAAAGACAATGTAATCCATTTTAGAATAAGGCTGTAATGTAACAAAATGTGGAAAATGTCAAGGGGTCTGAATACTTTCCGAATGCACTGTATCTCTGAAGACCATCCAGTTTTGATTTATAATTGCCAAATATTTTTCAACTGTGTTGTGATGTGTCACAAAAGTTCTGAACCTTTCTATTCTCATAGTTTCCACAGATTGTAAATTACAGATAAACATTTTCGTTTGAGAGAAACATGGGATCAACACTTTACATGTTGCGTTTATATTTTTGTTCAGTGTAATTAAAAATGAAAAGCTGAAAATGTCTTGAGTCAATAAGTATTCAACCCTTTTGTTATGGCAAGCCTAAAGTTCAGGAGTAAAAATGTACTTAACAAGTCACATAATAAGTTGCATGATTTTTGAATGACTACCTCATCTCTTTACTCGACACATACAATTATCTATAAGGTCCCTCAGTCAAGCATTACATTTCAAACACAGATTCAAACACAAAGACCAGGGAGGTTTTCCAATGCCTCACAAAGAAGTACACCTATTGGTAGATGGGTAAAAATAAAAAAAGCATACATTGAATATCCCTTTGAGCATGGTGAAGTTTTTAATTACACTTTGGATGGTGTATCAATACACCCAGTTACTACAAAGATACAGGTGTCCTTCCTAACTCAGTTGTCGAAGAGGAAGGAAACCGCTCAGGGATTTCACCACGAGGCCAATGGTGACTTTAAAACAGTTAGAGAGTTTAATGGCTGTGATGAGAGAAAACTGAGGATGGATCAACAACATTGTAGTTACTCCACAATACTAACCAAATTGATAGAGTGAAAAGAAGGAAGCCTGTACAGAATACAAATATTCCAAAACATGCATCCTGTTTGCAACATGGCACTAAAGTAAAACTGCAAAAAATCTGGCAAAAAAATGAATGTTATGTCCTGAATACAAAGTGTTATGTTTGGGGCAAATCCAAGACATCACTGAGTACCACTCTTCATATTTTCAATGTTCCTAGTTACAGTTTTGACTTAAATCTGCTTGAAAATCTGAGTTTTTTGTAAGTAAGCATTTCACTGTAAGGTCTACACCTGTTGTATTCGGTGCATGTGGCAAATAAAATTTGATTTGATTTGAAATATATGGCAAGACTTGAAAATGGCTGTCTAGCGATGATCAACAACCAACTTGACAGAGCTTGAAGAATTAGAAAAAGAACAGTGAAAATATTGTGCAATCTTAGAGACTTACCCAGAAAGACTCACAGCTGTAATCGCTGCCAAAGGTGATTTAACATGTATTGACTCTGGAATGTAAATACTTATGTAAATGAGATATTTCTGTATTTCGTTTTCCAGAAATTTGCAACATTTCTAAAAACACCTAAATACTAGCCTGTTCAACCTCTCTTTCGTATCGTCTGAGATCCCCAGAGATTGGAAAGCTGCCGCGGTCATCCCCCTCTTCAAAGGGGGTGACACTCTAGATCCAAACTGTTACAGACCTATATCCATCCTGCCCTGCCAAGTTAACAAACCAAGTTAACAAACAGATCACCGACCATTTCGAATCCCACCGTACCTTCTCCGCTATGCAATCCGGTTTCCGAGCTGGTCATGGGTGCACCTCAGCCACGCTCAAGGTCCTAAACGATATTATAACCGCGATCGATAATAGACAGTACTGGGCAGCCGTCTTCATCGACCTGGCCAAGCCTTTCGACTCTTGTCAACCACCGCATTCTTATTGGCAGACTAAATAGCCTTGGTTTCTCTAATGACTGCCTCACCTGGTTCACCAACTACTTCTCAGATAGAGTTCAATGTGTCAAATCGGAGGACCTGTTGTCTGGACCTATGGCAGTCTCTATGGGGGTGCCACAGGGTTCAATTCTTGGGCCAACTCTTTTCTCTGTGTTTATCAATGATGTCGCTCTTGCTGCTGGTGACTCTCAGATCCACCTCTACGCAGACGACACCATTTTGTATACATCTGGCCATCATTGGACACTGTGTTAACAAACCTCCAAACGAACTTCAATGCCATACAACACTCCTTCTGTAGCCTCCAACTGCTCTTAAACGCTAGTAAAACTAAATGCATGCTCTTCAATCGAACACTGCTTGCACCCGCCCGCCCGCCCGACTAGAATCACTACTCTCGGCGGGTCTGACTTAGAATATGTGGACAACTACAAATACCTAGGTGTCTGGTTAGACCGTAAACTCTCCTTCCAGACTCACATTAAGCATCTCCAATCAAAAGTTAAATCTAGAATCAGCTTCCTATTTTGCAACAAAGCCTCCTTCACTCATGCTGCCAAACATGCCCTCGTAAAACGGACTATCCTACCGATCCTTGACTTCGGCGATGTCATTTACAAAATAGCCTCCAACACTCTACTCAGCAAATTGGATGTAGTCTATCACAGTGCCATCCGTTTTGTCACCAAAGCCCCATATACTACCCACCACTGTGACCTGTATGCTCTCGTTGGCTGGCCCTCAATACATATTCGTCACCAAACCCACTGGCTCCAGGTCATCTATAAATCACTGCTAGGCTAATCCCCGCCTTATTTTAGCTCATTGGTCACCATATCAACACCCACCCGTAGTATGCGCTCCAGCAGGTATATCTCACTGGTCATCCCCAAAGCCAACACCTCCTTTGGCCGCCATTCCTTCCAGTTCTCTGCTGCCAATGACTGGAACAAATTGCAAAAATCTCTGAAGCTTTAGACTCTTATCTCCCTCACTAACTTTAAGCATCAGTTGTCAGAGCACCTTACCGATCACTGCACCTGTACACAGCCCATCTGTAATTAGCCCACCCAAATACCTCATCCCCATATTGTTATTTATTTTGCTCATTTGCACACCAGTATCTCTATTTGCACATCATCTCTTGCACATCTATCATTCCAGTGTTAATACTAATTGTAATTATTTTGCACTATAGCCTATTTATTGCCTTACCTCCATAACTTGCTACATTTGCACACACTGTATATATATATTTTCTGTTGTATTTTTGACTTTATGTTTTTGTTTTACCCCATATGTAACTCTGTGTTGTTGTTTTTATCACACTGCTTTGCTTTATCTTGGCCAGGTCGCAGTTGTAAATGAGAACTTGTTCTCAACTGGCTTACCTGGTTAAATAAAGGTGGAAAAAAAGGCTGTAACACAACAAAATGTGGAATAAGTCAACGGGTATGAATACATTCTGAAGGCATCATAATGTCCCAACTCTCTAAGTATATGTCTGGATATACCACCCTACTACTAGGTCTGATGTAGAAGCTTCCAGAATTAACCTGTAGCCATATCGCTGTGGCACTTATCAACCCACGACTAACCATTATTATCAATTACCCACTTATCACCCCACGACTAACCATTATTATCAATTTCCCACTTATCAACCCACGACTAACCATTATTATCAATTACCCACTTATCACCCCACGACTAACCATTATTATCAATTACCCACTTATCAACCCACGACTAACCATTCTCCAACGTTAAAACGTCTGCACAGCAACTGTGATCAAGTAGCCTAATGCTCTTCAGGTTAGTCAGTCAGCAAAGGACTGCTGCTATTGTTGGCTTTCAAGACGTCCCAGTCAGACAGGCGAGAACATAGAAAATATAGAACGGGTCTCCCCATTCAAGTTAATGATTGCAGGGTTAGAGGTTCCAATCCCTTTCTATAGATAGTATGTGTATGGTGGAGAAGCCCTTTAGTGCTAGTCTCTCTCTCTCTCTCTACCCCCTTCCTGTTGGTTCTCTGCTGTTATTCTGGCCATGTCGTGTGCTGATATTAAACAGTTTGACTTGGGTACTATGGAGGGTTCTGTTGGCAGGGTATCCCACTGTGACATCATCACCGCCAGGCTAGGGTCGTTGTGTGATGCCTCTCTCTCAGTCCCAGAGTCTGGCAGTGGGCTTGGAACATTTACATGTCAGTAATTTAGCAGACGCTCTTATCCAGAGTGCATACATCATTTTTTTGAATTTTTCATACTGGCCCCCCGTGGGAATCGAACCCACAACCCTGGCGTTGCAAACGCCATGCTCTACCAACTGAGCTGCATCCCTGCCGGCCATTCCCTCCCCTACCCTGGGCCAATTGTGTGCCGCCCCATGGGTCTCCCGGTCTAACCAGGATCTCTAGTGGCACAGCTAGCACTGCGATGCAGTGCCTTAGACCACTGCGCCACTCGGGAGACTCGGGAACCTTAGAAGCTTCCCTTTAATGAACATGTTTCATTTCTGGGCTCCTGAATCTATAGTGCCTTGCAAAATTATTCATCCCCCTTGGCGTTTTTCCTATTTTGTTGCATTATAACCTGTAATTTAAATGGATTTTTATTTGGATTTCATGTAATGGACATACACAAAATAGTCCAGATTGGTGAAGTGAAATGAAAAAAAAACTGTTTCAAACAATTCAAAAAAATTAAGTAACGGAAAAGTGGTGCGTGCATATGTATTTTGCTATGAAGCCCCTAAATAAGATCTGGTGCAACCAATTACCTTCAGAAGTCACATAATTAGTTAAATAAAGTCCACCTATGTGCAATCTAAGTGTCACATGATCTGTCACATGATCTCAGTATATATACACCTTTTCTGAAAGGGCCCAGAGTCTGCAACACCACTAAGCAATGGGCACGCTCAAGTTTTCTGTTTTTTTGTCTTATTTCTTGTTTGTTTCACCCCCAAAAATATTTTGCATCTTCAAAGTGGTAGGCATGTTGTGTAAATCAAATGATACAATCCCCACAAAAATCCATTTTAATTCCAGGTTGTAAGGCAACAAAATAGGAAAAATGCCAAGCGGGGTGAATAATTTCGCAAGCCACTGTAGGCACATGTTTTGATGAATAAGAGTGCTTTCAAAGCTAGAATGTGCTGCTTTAGTAACACTTCTGGTATCTCAGAGCCTTGTAAACAGTTCCACTTTTAGAATTGATAACATTAACATCTGTGCAGCCTGGTTGCTTTGTAGAGGGTGAGCTAATTTTCTAGGTATGAGTTTTTATTTTTTATACTTAAATTACAGATGATTTTGTTTTGGTTATAAAAGAAAAAAGCGTAATCTCCAAGTCAAGCAGAGTGGTGGGTTTCACTAGGCGGTTTGACGTTAGGGCCATGTTGTTTATCTGTCTGGTGAATACCAACATATACACGATCCTTAGTAGTCCTGTTTAGCTGAGATGCTGTGGTTTCACTAAACACATTGGGCTTGGAATTGAAAATAAACAAGTTTAATGGAAGAATTATAATTGCTGTTTTTTTTTAGTAGATTGAATTGAAAATCGTAACATTGATTTATTTCAGTTAAGTTGAAAAATGTAATGTAGTGTTTGAAAGGTTTGGTGCTGAAAGTAGATGGTAGCTACACTACATTATAACTGGGTCCTGGTATCCAGAGCCATGTTTTATTGTAGTTCTCCTGCACCATGAAGTCCTGTATGTAGCCAGGTCAGCAGCTCTAGGCTCTAAGATGAGTTTTCTGCATGTTTTGAATTAGTTAATTAAAAACCCAAGGAACTCAATTGTAGTTGGCCAAAATCATGAAGCTGAGCAGGCAGTAACGTCCCAAATGGCATCCTATACCCTATGGGCCCTGGTCAAAAGTAGTGCACTATATATACATAGGGAATAGTGTGTACACTATATACAGTTGAAGTCGGAAGTTAACATACACCTTAGCCAAATACATTTAAACTCAGTTTTTCACAATTCCTGACATTTAATCCTTGTAAGAATTCCCTGTCTTAGGTCAGTTAGGATCACCACTTTCTTTTTAAAATGTGAAATGTCAGAATAATAGTAGAGAGAATTATTTATTTAAGCTTTTATGTATTTCATCACATTCCCAGTGGGTCAGAAGTTTACATACACTCAATTAGTATTTTGGTAGCATTGCCTTTAAATTGTTTATCTTGTGTCAAACGTTTCGGGTAGCCTTCCACAAGCTTCCCACAATAAGTTGGGTGAATTTTGGCCCATTCCTCCTGACAGAGCTGGTGTAACTGAGTCAGGTTTGTAGGCCTCCTTGCTCGCACACGCTTTTTCAGTTCTGCCCACACATTTTCTATAGGATTGAGGTCACGGCTTTGTGATGGCCACTCCAATACTTTGACTTTGTTGTCCATAAGCCATTTTGCCACAACTTTGGAAGTATGCTTGGGGTCATTGTCCATTTGGAAGACCCATTTGCGACCAAGCTTTAACTTCCTGACTGATGTCTTGAGATGTTGCTTCAATATATCCACATAATTTTCCTTCCTCATGATGCCATCTATTTTGTGAAGTGCACCAGTCCCTCTTACAGCAAAGCACCCCCACAGCATGATGCTGCCACCCCCGTGCTTCACGGTTGGGATGGTGTTCTTCGGCTTGCAAGCAACCCCTTTTTTCCTCCAAACATAACGATGGTCATTATGGCCAAACAGTTCTATTTTTGTTTCATCAGACCAGAGGACATTTCTCCAAAAAGTACGATCTTTGTCCCCATGTGCAGTTGCAAACCGTAGTCTGGCTTTTTTATGGCGTTTTGGAGCAGTGGCTTCTTCCTTGCTGAGCGGCCTTTAAGGTTATGTCAATATAGGACTCGTTTTACTGTGGATATAGATACTTTTGTACCTGTTTCCTCCAGCATCTTCACAAGGTCCTTTGCTGCTGTTCTTTTCGCACCAAAATACGTTCGTCTTTAGGAGACAGAACGCGTCTCCTTCCTGAGCGGTTTGACGGCTGCGTGGTCCCATGGTGTTTATACTTGCGTACTATTGTTTGTACAGATGAATGTGGTACCTTCAGGCGTTTGGAAATTGCTCCCAATGATGAACCAGACTTGTGGAGGTCTACAATTTTCTGATTTTCCCATGATGTCAAGCAAAGAGGCACTGAGTTTTGAAGGTAGGCCTTGAAATACTTCCACAGGTACACCTCCAATTGACTCAAATGATGTCAATTAGCCTATCAGAAGCTTCTAAAGCCATGCCATCATTTTCTGGAATTTTCCAAGCTGTTTAAAGGCACAGTCAACTTAGCGTATGTAAACGTTTGACCCACTTGAATTGTGATACAGTGAATTATAAGTGAAATAATCTGTCTGTAAACAATTGTTGGAAAAATTACTTGTGTCATGCACAAAGTAGATGTTCTAACCGACTTGCCAAAACTATAGTTTGTTAACAAGAAATTTGTGGAGTTGTTGAAAAAACGAGTTTTAAACACTCCAACCTAAGTGTATGTAAACTTCCTACTTCAACTGTAGCGAATAGGGTGCTATTTGGGATACATCGCAGGTTTCTTATTCATCATAGTTTTCTCATAACAAGCAACCTAGTTTTCAGGAACCAGTGGACTGACTGCGGGTTTAGTGTTTCTCCCAGTTAGACAAATGGGGGCTGAGGAATCCAGCAATACATTTATAAGACTTAATGCTGCGCACTGTGTACTTATCAGGGCGGTGATATTTAATCAACGCTGTACAGCCGTTGTTCATCCTACAGATATCCTATCCCAGTAGAGAATGCAATCCCTCAGAGGGAGAGGGGTGAGACGGAGAGAGAGAACAGGGAAAAGGCTAGAGAATGCAATCCCTCAGAGGGAGAGGGGTGAGACGGAGAGAGAGAACAGGGAAAAGGCTAGAGAATGCAATCCCTCAGAGGGAGAGGGGTGAGACGGAGAGAGAGAATGGGGAAAAGGCTAGAGAATGCAATCCCTCAGAGGGAGAGGGGTGAGGCGGAGAGAGAGAACGGGGAAAAGGCTAGAGAATGAAAGGGAGAATGGCTGAAATGTAATGAGCTGTTTTCAGTAAGGTAATGATTCAGAGTGTACCACTATGTGATGTTCGTGGCAGTTGTAATCCCTGAGATCTGTCACGGTGGGTTCCAGCTCCATAACTGTGTGTTTGTACTTTAGTCAGCTCTTTAGATTGAGGCAGTATAAAGGACTGACTGGCCCCAGCCCTGCCTGGCAGACACACCTGGGTTGAAATACTATTTTTTTTTAAACAAAAGTAAAAATGATAACCACAAGTCCAGTCACTCGTGTGGGTTTGAAAGTTAAAAAGCCGTTAATGTATGGGCTAAGTCATTATTAAAATACAGCAACACCTTCATCAGGGTGTCAGATTCCTGACAGGCCGCCCCCAGGTGGTGAAGGTAGGCAACAACACATCCGCCACGCTGATCCTCAACACGGGGGCCCCTCAGGGGTGCGTGCTCAGTCCCCTCCTGTACTCCCTGTTCACCCATGACTGTGTGGCTGCGCACGACTCCAACACCATCATTAAGTTTGCAGACGACACAATTGTAGTCAGCTCTTTAGATTGAGGCAGTATAAAGTACTGCCTCAGGAGATTTGGCATGGGTCCCCAGATCCTCAAAAGGTTATACAGCTGCACCATCGAGAGCATCTTGACCGGTTGCATCACCGCCTGGTATGGCAACTGCTCGGCATCTTATTGTAAGGCGCTACAGAGGGTAGTTTGTACGGCCCAGTACATCACTGGGGCCAAGCTTCACAGAGGAAGGCCCAAAACATTGTCAAGGACTCCAGTCACCCTAGTCATAGACTGTTCTCTCTGCTACCGCACGGCAAGCGGTACTGGAGCACCAAGTCTAGGTCCAAAAGGCTCCTTAACAGCTTCTACCCTCAAGCCATAAGACTGTTGAACAATTAATCAAATGGCAACCCGGACTATTTACATTGACCCCCCCCCCCTCCATTTGTTTTTACACTGCTACTACCGGCTGTTTATTATCTATCATAGTCACTGTACCCCTACCTACATGTTCAAATTACCTCGACTAACCTGTACCCCCGCACATTGACTCGGTACCGGTACCCCCGCACATTGACTCGGTACCGGTACACCCTGTATATAGCCTCGTTATTGTTATTCTATTGTGTTACTTTTTATTTTATTTTATTTTTTACTTTAGTTTATTTAGTAAATATTTTCTTAACTCTATTTCTTGAACTGCATTGTTGGTTAAGGGCTTGTAAGTAAGCATTTCACGGTAAGGTCTACACCTGTTGTATTCGGTGCAAGTGACAAATAAAGTTTGATTTGATTTGGAAGGGCTGATCACTGACAACGATGAGACAGCCTATAGGGAGGAGGTCAGAGAACTGGCAGTGTGTTGCCAGGACAACAACCTCTCCCTCAACGTGATTAAGACAAAGGAGATGATCGTGGACTACAGGAAAAGGAGGGACGAACCCCCATTCACATCGACGGGGCTGTAGTGGAGCGGGTCGAGAGCTATGTTCCTCCACATCACTAAGGACCTATCATGGTCCCAACACACCAACTCAGTCATGAAGAGGCCACGACAACGCCTCTTCCCCTTCAGGAGGCTTAAAATATTTGGCATGGGCCCTCAGATCCTCAAACTGTCTGCATCACCGCTTGGTATGGCAACTTCTCAGTATCCAACCGCAGGCCCAGTACATCACTGGGGACGAGCTCCCTGCCATCCAGGACCTATATACCAGGCGGTGTCAGAGGAAGGCCCTAAAAATGGTCAATTACTCCAGCCTTTCACAATCTTCATGTGCTGCTGGTACTCTGTTTATTATCTATCCTGATTACCTAGTCACATTTACCCCTAGCTACATGTACATATTACCTCCACTAACTGGTACCCCTGCATAGTGACTGTACTGGTACTCCTTGTATATAGTCTCATTACTACCTCGTACCCCTACATAGTGACTCTGTACTGGTACTCCTTGTATATAGTCTCATTACTACCTCGTACCCCTGCACAGTGACTCTGTACTGGTACTCCTTGTATATAGTCTCATTACTACCTCGTACCCCTACACAGTGACTCTGTACTGGTACTCCTTGTATATAGTCTCATTACTACCTCGTACCCCTGCACAGTGACTCGGTACCGGTACTCCTTGTATATAGTCTCATTACTACCTCATACCCCTACACAGTGACTCTGTACTGGTACTCCTTGTATATAGTCTCATTACTACCTCATACCCCTACACACTGACTCTGTACTGGTACTCCTTGTATATAGTCTCATTACTACCTCGTACCCCTACATAGTGACTCTGTACTGGTACTCCTTGTATATAGTCTCATTACTACCTCGTACCCCTACACAGTGACTCTGTACTGGTACTCCTTGTATATAGTCTCATTACTACCTCATACCCCTACACACTGACTCTGTACTGGTACTCCTTGTATATAGTCTCATTACTACCTCATACCCCTACACAGTGACTCTGTACTGGTACTCCTTGTATATAGTCTCATTACTACCTCATACCCCTACACACTGACTCTGTACTGGTACTCCTTGTATATAGTCTCATTACTACCTCATACCCCTACACAGTGACTCTGTACTGGTACTCCTTGTATATAGTCTCATTACTACCTCATACCCCTACACACTGACTCTGTACTGGTACTCCTTGTATATAGTCTCATTACTACCTCGTACCCCTACATAGTGACTCTGTACTGGTACTCCTTGTATATAGTCTCATTACTACCTCGTACCCCTACACAGTGACTCTGTACTGGTACTCCTTGTATATAGTCTCATTACTACCTCATACCCCTACACACTGACTCGGTACTGGTACTCCTTGTATATAGCCTCATTACTACCTCGTACCCCTACACAGTGACTCTGTACTGGTACTCCTTGTATATAGTCTCATTACTACCTCATACCCCTACACACTGACTCGGTACTGGTACTCCTTGTATATAGTCTCATTACTACCTCATACCCCTACACAGTGACTCTGTACTGGTACTCCTTGTATATAGTCTCATTACTACCTCGTACCCCTACACAGTGACTCTGTACTGGTACTCCTTGTATATAGTCTCATTACTACCTCATACCCCTACACACTGACTCGGTACTGGTACTCCTTGTATATAGCCTCATTACTACCTCGTACCCCTACACAGTGACTCTGTACTGGTACTCCTTGTATATAGTCTCATTACTACCTCATACCCCTACACACTGACTCGGTACTGGTACTCCTTGTATATAGTCTCATTACTACCTCATACCCCTACACACTGACTCGGTACTGGTACTCCTTGTATATAGCCTCATTACTACCTCGTACCCCTACACAGTGACTCTGTACTGGTACTCCTTGTATATAGTCTCATTACTACCTCATACCCCTACACACTGACTCGGTACTGGTACTCCTTGTATATAGTCTCATTACTACCTCATACCCCTACACAGTGACTCTGTACTGGTACTCCTTGTATATAGTCTCATTACTACCTCGTACCCCTACACAGTGACTCTGTACTGGTACTCCTTGTATATAGTCTCATTACTACCTCATACCCCTACACACTGACTCGGTACTGGTACTCCTTGTATATAGTCTCATTACTACCTCATACCCCTACACAGTGACTCTGTACTGGTACTCCTTGTATATAGTCTCATTACTACCTCATACCCCTACACACTGACTCTGTACTGGTACTCCTTGTATATAGTCTCATTACTACCTCATACCCCTACACACTGACTCTGTACTGGTACTCCTTGTATATAGCCTCATTACTACCTCATACCCCTTCACAGTGACTCTGTACTGGTACTCCTTGTATATAGTCTCATTACTACCTCATACCCCTACATAGTGACTCTGTACTGGTACTCCTTGTATATAGTCTCATTACTACCTCGTACCCCTGCACAGTGACTCGGTACTGGTCCTCCTTGTATATAGCCTCATTATTACCTCATACCCCTACACAGTGACTCGGTACTGGTACTCCTTGTATATAGTCTCATTATTGTTATTTTATTGTGTTAGTATTTCCTTTTTTATTTGCTAATTTTCTGACTTTTTAACTCTGCGTTGTTGGTTAAGGGCTTGTTAGTCAGCATTTCATGGTAAAGTCTAGACCTGTTGTATTCGGCGCATGTGACAAATAACATTTGATTTGATAAAATGTTATTTGAGTTGAGATTATCAGATTATTGTCAAGACTATTTGAAATATTTTTCACACATTTTATCTGTGGTTGATTGAGCTTGCCTGATGTAATGGAACCAATACAATAATCGCAAAATGTGAAACCCCGCCCATCTGGCACTCCAGACAGGCTAAAGCAAATGCTGGCAGCCTTCCTGTCAGCCCCAGGTCTGCTGGCAGCCTTCCTGTCAGCCCCAGGTCTGCTGGCAGCCTTCCTGTCAGCCCCAGGTCTGCTGGCAGCCTTCCTGTCAGCCCCAGGTCTGCTGGCAGCCTTCCTGTCAGCCCCAGGTCTGCTGGCAGCCTTCCTGTCAGCCCCAGGTCTGCTGGCAGCCTTCCTGTCAGCCCCAGGTCTGCTGGCAGCCTTCCTGTCAGCCCCAGGTCTGCTGGCAGCCTTCCTGTCAGCCCCAGGTCTGCTGGCAGCCTTCCTGTCAGCCCCAGGTCTGCTGGCAGCCTTCCTATTAGCCCCAGGTCTGCTGGCAGCCTTCCTATTAGCCCCAGGTCTGCTGGCAGCCTTCCTATTAGCCCCAGGTCTGCTGGCAGCCTTCCTATTAGCCCCAGGTCTGCTGGCAGCCTTCCTATTAGCCCCAGGTCTGCTGGCAGCCTTCCTATTAGCCCCAGGTCTACTGCCAGCCTTCCTGTCAGCCCCCTCATTTACCTCTGTCTGTACAAGGAGAAATTTAGACCCAGTCTGCGTCCCAAATGCACCCTATTCCCTTTATAGTACACTGCTGTTGACCAGAGTGTACTATTTAATCACACCCTAATGGCTTTCTGCATTTGTTCCAGTTTCATTAAAAAAACATTAGCAGCTCATTTCTACTTTAGTTGATGGATGTGTTTGAAGGGGAAGAAAGGTAATTTGAGTCAATTGTGATGTATGTTATGGAACAGGAAGCTGTGATGTCTGTTATGGAACAGGATGTTGTGATGTCAGTTATGGAACAGGATGTTGTGATGTCTGTTATGGAACAGGAAGCTGTGATGTCTGTTATGGAACAGGATGTTGTGATGTCTGTTATGGAACAGGATGCTGTGATGTCTGTTATGGAACAGGATGCTGTGATGTCGGTTATGGAACAGGATACTGTGATGTCGGTTATGGAACAGGAAGCTGTGATGTCTGTTATGGAACAGGATGTTGTGATGTCGGTTATGGAACAGGAAGCTGTGATGTCTGTTATGGAACAGGATGCTGTGATGTCGGTTATGGAACAGGATACTGTGATGTCGGTTATGGAACAGGAAGCTGTGATGTCGGTTATGGAACAGGAAGCTGTGATGTCGGTTATGGAACAGGAAGCTGTGATGTCGGTTATGGAACAGGATGTTGTGATGTCTGTTATGGAACAGGATGTTGTGATGTCGGTTATGGAACAGGAAGCTGTGATGTCTGTTATGGAACAGGATGCTGTGATGTCGGTTATGGAACAGGATACTGTGATGTCGTTTATGGAACAGGAAGCTGTGATGTCGGTTATGGAACAGGAAGCTGTGATGTCTGTTATGGAACAGGATGTTGTGATGTCGGTTATGGAACAGGATGTTGTGATGTCTGTTATGGAACAGGATGTTGTGATGTCGGTTATGGAACAGGAAGCTGTGATGTCTGTTATGGAACAGGATGTTGTGATGTCTGTTATGGAACAGGATGTTGTGATGTCTGTTATGGAACAGGATGTTGTGATGTCTGTTATGGAACAGGATGTTGTGATGTCTGTTATGGAACAGGATGTTGTGATGTCTGTTATGGAACAGGATGTTGTGATGTCTGTTATGGAACAGGATGCTGTGATGTCTGTTATGGAACAGGAAGCTGTGATGTCTGTTATGGAACAGGAAGCTGTGATGTCGGTTATGGAACAGGAAGCTGTGATGTCTGTTATGGAACAGAAATCTGTGACCATCAAAGCCGTATTTTACGATATGCTGGGATTGATTCACGGATCGGTTTGGGTTTGAACTTTACCTTCTATAACAGTATTTGAATGTTTGGTTTGTTAAATGTGATACACCATGTGTAATGTCCATTTTTATAGTTTACTTCGCTACTAGTCATCTGTCGCTCTCGCTCTCGCTCTCGCTCTCGCTCTCGCTCTCGGTCTTGCTCTCTCTCCATGCCGCTTCCCACACAGACCTAGCCCCGGCCATGTCACTCAAGGAGTGCATTGGTTGTTCCTCGACCAGGAGACACTTGCGTTCAGTCTACATGGTCAAAGCAGCACATGTGTTGTTCCTCTACCAGGAGACTCTCTCTTCAGTCTCTACATGGTCAATGCAGAACATGCAACAATGTTGATGACAACGATGCTGTTTCCACTTTGCTTCTTAATATAAATCCACCAGTGTTCTATAATTACCACTATTAGTTTGTGTTTCCTACATCTGCAAACAGCTAGTTTGTCTTTTCTTAGCAAGTTGTGGCTAAGTCGTGTTAGCCGCTAATGCTAATCGCTAGTTAGCTGGTAGCTAGTCAGTGGTGTTACTGCTGTTGTAGACCAGTGGTAGCTAGTCAGTGGTGTTACTGATGCTGCTGCTGTAGACCAGTGGTAGCTAGTCAGTGGTGTTACTGATGCTGCTGCTGTAGACCAGTGGTAGCTAGTCAGTGGTGTTACTGCTGCTGCTGTGTTGTAGACCAGTGGTAGCTAGTCAGTGGTGTTACTGATGCTGCTGTTGTAGACCAGTGGCAGATAGCGCAATCTGAAACACATCACAAACACCCAATCTTTAAACATTTGTTGGCAACTTGGCTTCTGTGCTTTGTTTAGTGAATGGTAATGTACACCTCCTTGGCCCTGGCCTCTCGTTCTCTCTGATTGTATGGGCCCCAGCCTCAACCCTGGCCTCTCTCTCTCGCTCTCTCGCTCTGTGTGATTGTGTTTCCTTGCTGCCACTTCTCACTACTCAGTACTCTGCAGCACAGTGGCTGGTGAAATAGTCTGAGGGGATCATCTAGAAGTGGACCTGTAGCTGTCTGGTAATGGTGGTGGTGGTAGAGAGGGGGTCTGATTGCCCCGGCCTCCCCAGGGACGTCTCTCTCTGCGTGGGTCGTGACATGGGGGACAAGGCCTCAACGTGTCGGGGAGAGGGGGGGAGTCTGTTTGAGATAAGGCGCTATCGGGTTACCCTCAATTTATTTTCTCACTGCTTGGGTGTTCGTTCGTTTGTCCTCGCTCCACCCCCCCCCAATCCCTCCCTCCTCTCATCCCCTCTCTCCCCTCCCACCCCGCTCACCTCCCTCCTCTCAGGCCCCCTCCTCTCCCTCCCCCTGCTCCCTCCCTCCCTCCTCTCCACCCCTCTCGTCCCCTCCCCCTCTCCTCCCTCCACGCCACCCCCTCTCTCCCTCCCCCGCTCCCTCCACTCACGCCCCTCTCCCTCCCTCCACTCACCCCCTCCTCCCGCCCCCTCCTCTCATCCTCCCCCCCCGCTATCCCTCCCCCACGCCTCCCTCCCTCCTCTTCTCTCCCTCCCCGCTCTCCCCTCCCTCCTCTCACCCCCGTCTCCTCCCTCCTCTCGCCCCCTCATCCCCCCCGCTCCCTCTCTCCAGGCACACTGCTTTGATGTCACTCTGAGTTCACTGAGCCCAGGAGAGGAAAAACAACAATAACATTAGAAGGTGTTTATCAAGCGAGCTTTCTGTTGGACACTCTCTCTCATTAATCCAGTGGAACACTGTGGAAATGACCAGTTTGACTAATGTTTAGTTTAGTAGTGTTAGCAGCTCCCTTCAGCCCCGCCCCCATTCCTTCCAGCCTATAGTTTAGTAGTGCTAGCAGGTCCCCTCAGCCCCGCCCCCATCCCTTCCAGCCTATAGTTTAGTAGTGTTAGCAGCTCCCTTCAGCCCCGCCCCCATCCCTTCCAGCCTATAGTTTAGTAGTGCTAGCAGCTCCCTTCAGCCCCACCCCCATCCCTTCCAGCCTATAGTTTAGTAGTGCTAGCAGGTCCCCTCAGCCCCGCCCCCATCCCTTCCAGCCTATAGTTTAGTAGTGCTAGCAGCTCCCCTCAGCCCCGCCCCCATACCTTCCAGCCTATAGTTTAGTAGTGCTAGCAGCTCCCTTCAGCCCCGCCCCCATCCCTTCCAGCCTATAGTTTAGTAGTGCTAGCAGGTCCCCTCAGCCCCGCCCCCGTACCTTCCAGCCTATAGTTTAGTAGTGCTAGCAGCTCCCCTCAGCCCCGCCCCCAGCCCTTCCAGCCAATAGTTGATAAATCACTCACTAATTTGTGGAAAATAATACAGAGCTGAATTGGCCGTTGTGAAATAGAACGGCTACATTATGTCATATTTTAACTTTTCAGAAAATGTTTTATTTCGGGATAATGAAAATAAATGTGGCTGCTTTGTTTTGCTTTGGGCAAATTGATGTTGAAACAATGACCTTGAACACAGCAGAGAGATGGCGGTGGAGAGTTGAGGTCGTTTATTTTTCAAGTTGTTCATTCCTTCTATTTATTTACTTCTAGTTCAGTAGGGTTGAAACTTTTTACGACCATACTTTGTTTAAACAATTACCGAATGTGTGTTTTGAATTAGTGTGTCCAAGCTTAATTTACTGTCTGCACGGGTCAAACCTGTTGCTTATTGTGAGTACAGAGAGAGAGAATTCCCTTTTGATTTAATTGTTTGTATTGTGTAGTTAGTAATATTATCCTGGGGGTGGAGCCTGGGGGATAGAGGGAGGGGTGTGGAGGCTGGGAGGGGTGTGGAGGCTGGGAGGGGTGTGGAGGCTGGGAGGGGTGTGGAGGCTGGGAGGGGTGTGGAGGCTGGGAGGGGTGTGGAGGCTGGGAGGGGTGTGGAGGCTGGGAGGGGTGTAGAGGCTGGGAGGGGTGTAGAGGGAGGGGAGGGGAGGCTAGGGGTAGAGGGAGTGGATGCTGGGGTTGGAAGGACGGGTGTGGAGGCTGGGGAGTGGAGGCTGGGGGGGAGGGAGGGGGTAGAGGGAGTGGAGGCTGGGGATGGAGGGAGGGGATGAGGGAGGGAGGGGATGAGGGAGGGAGTGGAGGCTGGGGTGGAGGGAGGGGAGTGGAGGCTGGGGGTAGAGGCTGGGGTAGAGAGAGATGATAGAGGGAGGGGGTGGAGGCTGGGGGTAGAGGGAGGGGGGTGGAGGCTGGGGAGTGGGGGGTGGAGGCTGGGGAGTGGAGGGAGGGGGGTGGAGGCTGGGGAGTGGAGGGAGTGGGTGGAGCCTGGGGGGTAGAGGGAGGGGGTGGAGTCTGGGGGTAGAGGGAGTGGGGTGGAGGCTGGGGAGTGGAGGGAGTGGGGTGGAGGCTGGGGAGTGGAGGGAGTGGGGTGGAGGCTGGGGAGTGGAGGGAGTGGGGTGGAGGCTGGGGAGTGGAGGGAGTGGGGGTGGAGGCTGGGGAGTGGAGGGAGTGGGGGTGGAGGCTGGGGAGTGGAGGGAGTGGGGTGGAGGCTGGGGAGTGGAGGGAGTGGGTGGAGCCTGGGGGGTAGAGGGAGGGGGTGGAGCCTGGGGGTAGAGGGAGTTTGGTGGCGCCTGGGGGGTGGAGGGAGGGGGTGGAGCCTGGGGGTAGAGGGAGGGGGTGGAGCCTGGGGGTAGAGGGAGGGGGTGGAGCCTGGGGGGTGGAGGCTGGTGGGTGAAAGGAGGGGAATGGAGGCTGGGGAATGGAGGAGGGGTGGAGAGAGGAGGGTGATGGGTGAATTTGATTGAGTGGGAGTGGGGGGTGAAGGGTGGAGAGTTGCTGGGGGGGGTGGAGACTGACTGTATAACCTTTAGCTCTACAGGGTTCACCCCAGGGGTTAATGACTGACCCCTCTCATTGAGGTTGAGAAGTTCAAGGCCGACCACCAATACTGCAGACATTGTTAGCAGAAAACAGGATCCCCCATTATAGTGAAGGGGAAATGGCTATCTTCGTGGTCAATCTTTGTGTAAATAAAACATGTTTTAGAAGACAACCATAGTATCAATAATTGTTTCTAATACACCAGATATACACTACATGACCAAAAGTCTGCTCATCGAACATCTCATTCCAAAATCATGGGCATTAATATGAGTTGGTCCCCATTTTCTGCTATAACAGCCTCCACTCTTCTGGGAAGGCTTTCCACTAGATGTTGGAACATTGCTGCGGGGACTTGCTTCCATTCAGCCACAAGAGCATTAGTGAGGTCGGGCACTGATGTTGGGCGATTAGGCCTGGCTCATAGTCGGCCTTCCAATTCATCCCAAAGGTGTTCGATGGGGTTGAGGTCAGGGCTTTGTGCAGGCCAGTCAAATTCTTCCACACCGATATCGACAAATCATTTCTGTATGGACCTTGCTTTGTGCACGGGGGCATTGTCATGCTTCAAAAGGAAACGGCCTTCCCCAAACTGTTGCCATAAAGTTGGAAGCACAGAATCGTCTAGAATGTCATTGTATGCTGTAGCATTAAGATTTCCCTTCACTGGAACTAAGGGGCCTAGCCCGAACCATGAAAAACAGCCCCAGCCCATTATTCCTTCTCCACCAAACTTTACAGTTGGCGCTATGCATTGGGGCAGGTAGTGTTCTCCTGGCATCCGCCAAACCCAGATTAGTCTGTCGGACTGTCAGATGGTGAAGCGTGATTCATCACTGCTCCAGAGTCCAATGGCGGCGAGCTTTACACCCCTCCAGCCGATGCTTGGTATTGCGCATGGTGATCTTAGGCTTGTGTGCGGCTGCTCGGCCATGGAAACCCATTTCATGAAGCTCCCGACGAACACTTCTTGTGCTGACGTTGCTTCCAGAGGCAGTTTGGAACTTGGTAGTGAGTATTGCAACCGAGGACTGACCATTTTTACGCGCTACGCGCTTCAGCAGTCGGTGGTCTCGTTCTGTGAGCTTGTGTGGCCTACCACTTCGTGGCTGAGCTTTTGTTGCTCCTAGACGTTTCCACTTCACAATAACAGCACTTACAGTTGACCGGGGCAGCTCTAGCAGGGCAGAAATTTGATGAACTGACTTATAGGAAAGGTGGCATCCTATGACGGTGCCACGTTGAAAGTCACTGAGCTCATCAGTAAGGCCATTCTACTTCCAATGTTTGTCTATGGAGATTGCGTGGCGGTGTGCTCGATTTTATACACCTGTCAGCAACGGGTGTGGCTGAAATAGCCAAATCCACTAATTTGAAGGGGTGTCCACATACTTTTGTATATATAGTGTATGTCCTTGAACCGATAATTTTAAAATTGCACAAAGAAGTAGTAGTCAGGGGTGAGTGCTTTGCTGTACTCCCTGTTCACCCACGACTGCGTGGCCAAGCACGACTCCACACCATCATTAGGTTTGCTGACGACACAACAGCCACGACACCCATTAACATCGACAGGGCTGTATTGGAGCGGGTCGAGAGTTTCAACTTCCTTGGTGTCCACATCACCAACAAACTATCCTGGTCCAAACACACCAAGACAGTCATGAAGAGGGCACAAAAACACATTTTCCCTCTCAGGAGACTGAAAAGATTTGGCATGGGTCCCCAGATCCTCAAAACGTTCTACAGCTGCACCATCGAGAGCATCCTGACCGGTTGCATCACCGCCTGGTATGGCAACTGCTCGGCATTCAGTCACTCAAGTCGCACGGCAAGCGGTACGGAGCGCCAAGTCTAGCTCCTTAACAGCTACTACCCCCAAGCCATAAGACTGCTGAACAATTAATCAAATGGCTACCCAGACTATTTACATTTCCCCCCTTGAGTTACTCAATGAGAGGGGGCAGCACTGAGCTAGCCTGCAACGTCACTTCCTGGAGGAGCTCAAACTGTGCATGTTGTTTCCATGAGCAGCCATCTTAGCAAGCTAAAAAGCGACTTCCTTTGCTTCAAATGCGCTATCGAGTCTTCACATAGGAATGAATGGTGTCACGTGATCGATGGCTTTGTCCTTTGTTTTTCCATTCATTGGTTCACCCCTCAGACAAGGCCACAGAGCAGCAGCAGGGGCGCTCTGTCTGTCTGAGGGCCTAGAGCCAGACGTCTACAGGGCAGAGGGGGGAGAGAGGTCATGCTTGGTCTTCCTGTGCCCTAACCCTCCATGGGTGCCCACTTACTTTCTGGGTAGGGGGTCCCCCTCTCCTGTCACTCACACTGGCAGGGCTTCTCTGCTCTCTGCCGGCCGTCATCTCTACTCTACAGGGCTGAATTGACATGCCTGGAAGCCAGGCAGAACATCCCCCATCCACGCCCTTTACCACCTCTATCCCTCCAGACCCTCTCCAGGAGACCCCCCCCCCCCCTCCCCAGGAGCCCCCCCAGACCCTCCCCAGGAGCCCCCCCAGACCCTCCCCAGGAGCCCCCCCCCCCAGACCCTCCCCAGGAGAGCCCCAGTCCCTCCCCAGGAGCTCCCCCCGTCCCTCCCCAGGAGCCCCCCAGTCCCTCCCCAGGAGCCCCCCCAGTCCCTCCCCAGGAGCCCCCCCAGACCCTCCCCAGGAGCCCCCCCCCCCAGACCCTCCCCAGGAGAGCCCCAGTCCCTCCCCAGGAGCCCCCCCCCCCCCGTCCCTCCCCAGGAGCCCCCCCAGGAGCCCCCCCAGTCCCTCCCCAGGAGCCCCCCCAGTCCCTCCCCAGGAGCCCCCCCACGCGCCTCCCCTGGAGCCCCCCCCCCAGTCCCTCCCCTGGAGCCCCCCCCCCCAGTCCCTCCCCAGGAGCCCCCCCGTCCCTCCCCAGGAGCCCCCCAGTCCCTCCCCTGGAGCCCCCCCACGTCCCTCCCCTGGAGCCCCCCCCCCAGTCCCTCCCCTGGAGCCCCCCCCCGTCCCTCCCCAGGAGCCACCCCAGTCCCTCCCCTGGAGCCACCCATACTCATTTTCACTATGTCAGATCCCGTCGTGTTTTAGCTATATTTAAATCTCTGTCCGTAAACATCGTAGATGCAGCGTTTGAAGTGATGGAACGTTTACAAATGAAGTGTGAGATAATCAGACTATAATCTATTTCTATAATTCCCAACCCTTGATGAGATATTTATTATTCCTCTACATTGTGTTTACCAGTTCCCACCGATCTGGGCCATGGAAACCCTCTGCCGCGGCGGCTCAGTGGAGAGCGTGTGTGTGTTTGTGTGTGTGTGTTAGGAGCTCAGTGTAAATATTTTCACCAGACAGTCTTCATTACATTTTACATTTTAGTCATTTCGCAGACGCTCTTATCCAGAGCGACTTACAGTTAGTGAGCGCATACATTTTTTTTTTTAAATCTTTTTTTTCTTCTCCCATCTGTTTTGGCATCGCTGTGTTGACTTTACCGCACCGACCGACCGGGGAAACAGCTTCATCCAGTCCACCTCCTAAATTCTGGAAAGTATGTTTCAATGTCATCTTCATTACTACACCAACACCACAAGCAGAAGGCTTATCTGATCACATAGTGACAAACGTAGAGGTTGGAATGGATGACTGAAGAACTGTCAGGGTGTTAGACGGGGAGGAGAGGTGGGAGGAGAGGGGGAGGAGAGGTGGGAGGAGAGGAGGAGGAGGAGAGAAGGAGGAGAGAAGGAGGAGAGGGGGAGGAGAGGAGGAGGAGAGAGGGGGTTATGCAGCTCATTTATGTTTGGTTTTGACACCTTTAGTGTTTACGTTCGTCAGAATAACGCTGAGTTCTCAGACTCCGCCATCTAACCCTGCACAGCTAAATGTTAACCACCTGATCGTGTGCTGCGTGTGCAAATGCGCGTGCACGTTCCTGTGTGTGTGTCAGAGCCTGCCGTGCCACGTGGTGTTCACCCCCTGTATGGTGATTAGGGTTCATAAGGGCGGTGGAGGTGGTCGTAAACCAGGGAGGGGTGGTAGTGGTGGTCACTGGTGTGTGTGTGTACACCCCCCTCCCTACCCCTCAACCTCCCACCTCTATGCAGCAGCCTTGTGACCTCTTGCCCCTCCCTACCCATCAACCTCCCACCCCTCTGCAGCAGCCTTGTGACCTCTTGCCCCTCCCTACCCCTCAACCTCCCACCTCTATGCAGCAGCCTTGTGACCTCTTGCCCCTCCCTACCCCTCAACCTCCCACCTCTATGCAGCAGCCTTGTGACCTCTTGCCCCTCCCTACCCCTCAACCTCCCACCTCTATGCAGCAGCCTTGTGATCTCTTGCCCCTCCCTACCCCTCAACCTCCCACCTCTATGCAGCAGCCTTGTGACCTCTTGCCCCTCCCTACCCCTCAACCTCCCACCCCTCTGCAGCAGCCTTGTGACCTCTTACCCCTCCCTACCCCCCTAGTCCTCTGCTCATGTCTCTCTCTCAATTCAATTTAAGGGCTTTTTTGGCATGGGAAACATATGTTAACATTGCCAAAGCAAGTGAAATAGATAATAAACAAAAGTGAAATAATCAATCAAAAAGTTAACAGTAAACATTACACTCACAAAGGAATAAAGAGATTTCAAATGACATATTATGTCTATATACGGGTGTTATAACGATGTGCAAATAGTTAAAGTAAAAAAGGGATAATAAATAAACGTAAATATGGGTTGTATTTACTCTCTCTCTGTCTCTGTCTCTCTCTTTCTCTCTCTCTCTTTCTCTCTCTCTCTGTCTCTGTCTCTGTCTCTCTCTCTCTGTCTCTTTCTCTCTCTCTCTCTCTCTTAGGCAAGCCTAAATACGTTCAGGAGTAAACATTTGCTTAACAAGTCACATAAGTTGCATGGACTCACTCTGTGTGTAATAATAGTGCTTAACATGATTTTTGAATGACTACCACATCTCTGTACCCCACACATACAATTATCTGTAAGGTCCCTCATTTGAGCAGTGAATTTCAAGCACAGATTCAACCACAAAGACCAGGGAGATTTTCAAATGCCTCGCAAAGGAGAGCACCTATTGGTAGTAAATATATATAAAAATAACGGACATTTGAATATCCCTTTGAGCATGGTGAAGTTATTAATTACACTTTGGATGGTGTATCAATACACCCAGTCTCACTACATGTTGTCCTTCCTAACTCAGTTGCTAGAGAGGAAGGAAACCGCTAAAGGAATTTCACTATGAAGCCAATGGTGAAAAAAGTATAAAAATATTTATTTCGGTGGGTCGTTGCGGATGGGTCGGGGGGAGGGCGGGGTTCGGATGGGGGGAGGGAGGGAGGGAGGGAGGGGGAGAGGGCTGATGGCGGGGAGGGAGTGAGGTGGTTGGTGGAGGGGGGGAGTTGGAGGGGGGAGGGAGGGGGGGATTGTAGGAGGTGTCGGAGGGAGGGAGGAGGTTCGTGTGAGGGAGGGAGGGGGGAGGGGGGAGCGTGGAGGAGGGCGGGGGGGGAGTGGTGAGTGGAGGGAGGGAGGGAGGAGGCGGAGTGCGGTGGGGAGGGAGTAGGTAGGGAGTGAGGGATGTGAGTGCGAGTTGGTGGGATGCGGGGTCGTGCTCTTTGTGTTGCTTCGTTGATCGTTTTTATGTTCTGTTTTCGAGTCTGTTGTTCTTTTCTTTCTTTTCTTTCTAGTTTTTCTTTCTTTTCTTTCTTTTCTTCTCGTTTCTTCTTTCTTTCTTCTTCTTTTTTCTTTCCCTCCTCCCTCCCTCCCTCCGCAGGATGACCATGAGAGTGGTTCAAGCTCCACCAGTCGCAGCGCCTCAGAGAGCTCCAAGACCCTGACCAAGCCCCGCCGCCTCCAGCAGGCCGCCCCCTCCGACCCAGACCTACCCCCAGGTGAGTGATGGCTCCGGGGCCAAAGGGAGTACTCTACCCTCCTGCTTCACACTGACCACCAGGCAGGGCTAGGCCTCAGTGGAGGATGAATCACTGACAGGGCAGGTCTTATCAGCAAGGCCACTTGACCACCACAGTCCTCAATGCGTCCCTATTCCCTAGCCCTATGGGTCCTGGTCAAAAGTAGTGCACCATGTAGGGAATAGGGTGTCATTTGGGATTTGGGATTCCAACCTCCCTCCTCTAACAACAGGTCCATAACAACAACACTTAGCTAGCTACACAATGGAGTCCTTGTCTGAGTGAGGCTATAAACTGAGGTTTGTTAGGACTTTATCAATGAGAGATCTCTGCTGGTTTATCAGGTAACTGACGTTAGAGAGACTCTATCCACACCCCCCCACTAAAGGCAGAAGTTATCACACATTTTACTGTCCAGACGCAATAAATCCATCACTCATTTAATTTACTGCTCATTTACTACCACGTCAACTTTGAGAGTTTGGAATCCTTTTGTTCTTAATGTGGTATTTACTTGATATATATGTTTCAACTGTGTTGTTTCACATATGTTCTGAACCTTTCTATTCTCATAGTTTCAACAGATTGTAAATTACACATATTAATTTTTTTGCTAAGAGTATTATTTATATTATTGATCGATTGACTGTGACTTTTCAAATCACCCAGCAGTGCTATTTGCAGAGTTAGCTCCAGGTAAATGTTGCAATTCTTCAGCCATTCCTGAACCTGCGACCAAAAACAAGCTACATATGGGCAGTACCAAAGCAAGTGATCTAATGATTCTGTCTCTTCGCAACAAAGTCTGCAGAGCTGGGATGGTTGTATCCCCCATATATATAACATTCTATTGGTTGCAAGAATTTTGTATAATAATTTACATTGAAAAACTCAGTTTATGGGCCATCTTTGAGAGTTTGGAATAATTTTGTTCTTATTCTAGACATTCAGTTACATAGTATTGTTTAAATACTCCCCATGTAATGCTAATGGGGAGCTAACATGGCTGCCATAGAATGTTATAGTGCCATGTACAGCGCCTTCAGAAAGTATTCACACCCTTTGACTTTTTCCACATGTTGTTGTGTTACAGCCTGAATTTAAAATGGATTACATTTAGATGTTTTGTCACTGGCCTTAACACAATACCCCGTAATGTCAAAGTAGAAATATGTTCTTAGAAAATTTAGCAAATTAATAAAAAATGAAAAGCTGAACATTTCTTGAGTCGATATGTATTCAACCCCTTTCTTATGGCAAGCCTAAATACGTTCAGGAGTAAACATTTGCTTAACAAGTCACATAAGTTGCATGGACTCACTCTGTGTGCAATAATAGTGCTTAACATGATTTTTGATTGACTACCCCATCTCTGTACCCCACACATACAAGTATCTGGAAGGTCCCTCATTTGAGCAGTGAATTTCAAACACAGATTCAACCACAAAGACCAGGGAGATTTTCAAATGCCTCGCAGATGAAAAAGATATATAAAAAAATAACGGACATTGAATATCCCTTTGAGCATGGTGAAGTTATTAATTACACTTTGGATGGTGTATCAATACACACAGTCACTACAGGTTGTCCTTCGTAACTCAGTTGCCAGAGAGGAAGGAAACCACTGTTAACAGCAAAGAGTATTGTCTATAGTATGTTAACATTTACATTTACATTTTAGTCATTTAGCAGACGCTCTTATCCAGAGCGACTTACAGTTAGTGAGTGCATACATTTTCATACTGGCCCCCCGTGGGAAACGAACCCACAACCCTGGCGTTGCAAGCGCCATGCTCTACCAACTGAGCTACAGACAAGACTCTTCACTGTTAACACGCTATAGACAAGACTATGCTTGCACACACCGTGCACACTATAATGCTGGGAGAGTGTGAGAGAAAGAGGGAAGAGAGAGGAGTTTTGAAGAGCTGGTCCCAGTTTAACACCCAGCCAATTCCTGAGGTCCCAGAGAGAGGGAGACTGATCTGTTTCCACATGGAGGTAGAGATAACATCACTCTACCCAGCTGATAAAGCACCCTGCATGCATCACTACACTCTCTGTGTGGGCCATCACTCAAGGTCAATTCCCCTTTATGGCAATAGGGAATTGGATTAAAGGTGTAATCCCGACCCCAATAAGGCATGTTAAATAGGTAATCAGGGTAAAGAGAGGAAAACATGTTGATACAGTATGGGAACTTGATCATAAAGACAGATAGCTTTTCTCTCTCAGCAGCAGTGGTCATGAATTTATACTGCACAGTTGTTTTCTAGCCTACGGACACTTCCACTCATTCACATCCAGCTAGTCACACTGTGTGGCTCACAGAGCTGCCACCCTCCTCCAGAAAGGCCACAGTGACACACCAGCAGTCTGGCCTGCCTGTAGCCAGTCATCAGCCCACAGTGACACACCAGCAGTCTGGCCTGCCTGTAGCCAGTCATCAGCCCACAGTCCTACGTGACATCCACAGACTGCTCCTCTTCAAAACACAGCAAACACTCAAACAACCCACCAACAATTATACAGTCACGTGTTGAATTAATTGACCCCCCCCCCCCTCTCTGTCACCCCCACGGTGGTGGAAATAGTGATGTTAATTCATATGTCCTGGGATTGGTAGAGACCTCCACACAGAGACAGACCTCTACTTTGGGCTGTCCTGCTAGTCATTAGAACTCCTTGTGGAGACTCTTGGGTCTTGGCCACAGCAGTTTGCTGAAAAAGTATTATTTTGTTTTATAGCTGTATCTTTTTGTCTTAAACTTCTGTTGAACACAGTATAATATTCTCCACTGCAGTTTGCTAAAAAACCTTTTCATTTTTTTAAAAATAGCATTATTTAGAAGTCCTAAACGTCTGTAGAATGTAGAATGTTTTCCTGGTTAAGTCATCTGTACACTCAGTGGCACATGTCCTCTTCTACGGGCGCTGTGAGAGCCGGAAGGACACTGGTCCAAGTTACTGGCTTTATGGACACCTGACTGGGCCAGGTGTTTAAATGGCTGTTCTGTGACCATCTTCCTCAGATGGGCTTGAGGAATCTGGCCCCGTGCTATTCCCTATGGGCCCTGAGCTTGAGGAACCTGGCCCTGTGCTATTCCCTATGGGCCCTGGGCTTGAGGAACCTGGCCCCGTGCTATTCCCTATGGGCCCTGGGCTTGAGGAACCTGGCCCTGTGCTATTCCCCATGGGCCCTGGGCTTGAGGAACCTGGCCCCGTGCTATTCCCCATGGGCCCTGGGCTTGAGGAACCTGGCCCCGTGCTATTCCCTATGGGCCCTGGGCTTGAGGAACCTGGCCCGTGCTATTCCCTATGGGCCCTGGGCTTGAGGAACCTGGCCCCGTGCTATTCCCTATGGGCCCTGGGCTTGAGGAACCTGGCCCCGTGCTATTCCCTATGGGCCCTGGTCAAAAGTAGTAAATAGGATGTCATTTGGAACTCCGCCTCATGTATTGTAGCCCAGTTCTGTAATGAGGTGTGTGTGTGTACTCCGGTCCTGTGTGGCTCAGTTGGTAGAGCATAGCACCTGAAACGCCAGGGTTGTGGGTTCGATTCCCACGGGGGGACCAGTACAAATGAAAATGTATCCACTCACTACTGTAAGTGTCTCTAAATAAGAGCGTCTGCTAAATGACTAGCATGTCAACGTACTGCTTTCCCTTGGAGAGTGGTCTGGTGGCTTGGGACGGGTCCATTTGGGGCCCAGAGGGATTGCCCAATAGGGTGCCATTTGGGGCCCAGAGGGAGTGTCCATTTTCCAGCCTGCTCCGTTTTCATGACGGCTAGCGACTAACTGCTACTTAACAGGAATCCGGAACACAAACTTGCGGTCACAGCCATAAAGGCTGACCGCGTCGTGGAATCCGTAGCAAAACAAACTTTAGCTGTGATTTACACGATTTCATTGAAACGACAGAGGGTAGACACTGTTCTGTTGCGCGCTTTGATGACGTCTGGGATCCACAGGGCTCTGGTCAAAGAGAGTGCACGATATAGGGAATAGGGTGCCTTTTGGGACGTATCCCAGGCCAGTAGAGCTGTGTGAAGAGCAGTGAGTTGCTAGGAGCTGAGGAATGGAGAGTGAGAGTCATTGTAAACCTCTAATCTGTAATTAAGTTGTAGAAAGAAAACCTCAATATTATATCGACAGTGTAGCTGCAGGTTTTATAGTGTTAAATAGCTCATGTACGGCCGTCTGGAAAAACCTCTGTGCTGTATCACAACTCTGCTACTGCTGGAGGACAAATAAATGAATCCTAGTTGGAGATGTAAAATGGGGTGTTTTATAATTGTGTGAATTACAGTGTGTGTGGTTGTGTTATGCGCAGGGCCTGTTCAACAGTAACCATGCATTTCTGTTTTATCAAGGTCTAGATACACTATACATACAAAAGTATGTGGACACCCCTCAAATGAGTGGATTCGGCTATTTCAGCCACACCCGTTACTGACAGGTGTATAAAATCGAGCACGCAGCCATGCAACCTCCATAGACAAACATTGGCAGTAGAATGGCCTTACTGAAGAGCTCAGTGACTTTCAGTGTGGCACCTTCATAGGATGCCACCTTTCCAACAAGTCAGTTCGTCAAATTTCTGCCTTGCTAGAGCTGCCCCGGTCAACTGTAAGTGCTGTTGTTGGGAAGTGGAAACATCTAGGAGCAACAACTGCTCAGCCGCAAACTGGTAGGCCACCCAAGCTCACAGAACGCGAGTGCCGAAGCGCGTAAAAATCGTCTGTCCTCGGTTGCAACACTCACTACCGAGTTCCAAACTGCCTTTGGAAGCAACGTCAGCACAAGAACTGTTCGTCAGGAGCTTCATGAAATGGGTTCCATGGCCAAGCAGCCACTCACAAGCCTAAGATCACCATGCGCAATGCCAAGTGTCGGCTGGAGGGGTGTAAAGCTCGCCGCCATTGGACTCTGGAGCAGTGGAAACGCGTTCTCTGGAGTGATGAATCACGCTTCACCATCTGGCAGTCCGACAGACAAATATGAGTTTGGCGGATGCCAGGAGAACACTACCTGCCCCAATGCATAGTGCCAACTGTAAAGTTTGGTGGAGGAGGAATAATGGTCTGGGGCTGTTTTTCATGGTTCGGGCTATGCCCCTTAGTTTCAGTGAAGGGAAATCTTAACGCTACAGCATACAATGACATTCTATACGATTCTGTGCTTCCAACTTTATGGCAACAGTTTGGGGAAGGCCCGTTCCTGTTTCAACATGACAATGCCCCTGTTCTCAAAGCAAGGTCAATACAGAAATGGTTTGTCGAGATCGGTGTGGAAGAACTTGACTGTTCTGCACAGAGCCCTGACCTCAACCCCATCGAACACCTTAGGGATGAATTGGAACGCCGACTGCGAGCCAGACCTAATTGCCCAACATCAGTGCCCGACCTCACTAATGGTCTTGTGGCTGAATGGAAACAAATCCCTGCAGCAATGTTCCAACATCTAGTGGAAAGCCTTCCCAGAAGAGTGGAGGCTGTTATAGCAGACAAAGGGGGGACGAACTCCATATTAATACCAATGATTTTGGAATGAGATGTTGGATGAACAGGTGTCCACATACTTTTGGTCATGTAATGTACCTTGTTTCAGAACAACAGAATAAATATGTAATACCGTTATGACCCATGGAGAACAAACTAACTGACAGGATATTTATAGTCTGAGTTAGTCCATCTGTTTCTCGCTGCTGCTTAATGATTGTCATGTCTTATGTAGGGTTGAATAGCGGGAACCCAGTTACCGATTTACCGGCCAAAACCATTCCCTTTTCCCGGGATAAATAACTGCGAGAAACCGGTAAATTATTTATATGAACAGCATGACGTGAAATGGAACTGTTCAATTATATGCGATGTCTAAATATGGCTTCTCTAGGGCCTTCTCTCTACCATCAACGCTCAGGTTGGGGACAGACAGCCCATCTCAGTATGGAGTGCAGTTCACAATGCATGTAGGCCTATCATCTCATCATGGAAACAATGCATGTAGACCTATCATCTCATCATGGAAACAATGCATGTAGACCTATCATCTCATCATGGTAACAATGCATGTAGACCTATCATCTCATCATGGTAACAATGCATGTAGACCTATCATCTCATCATGGTAACAATGCATGTAGACCTATCATCTCATCATGGTAACAATGCATGTAGACCTATCATCTCATCATGGAAACAATGCATGTAGACCTATCATCTCATCATGGAAACAATGCATGTAGACCTATCATCTCATCATGGTAACTTTTTTTTATTGTAACAGGTAGGCCTGCATTTGCTGCAGCATAGCCTATGCTACAGTATTATAAAGACAGAATGCGCGTCTAATTTACACATCTCCATCTGGCTTTTGGCGGTCACCTTGTTTTTTTATTGTAAAGATTATTATTTTTTAATTGCAGGTGCAGTTTTAAAACGGCCTATCACTTGAAAATCATTCCTTTAAATCAGTGCATGCTCGAGCACTCTCTCTGTCTTTCTCAATTCCATTCAAATTGCATCCAAAATAGATAATCCAGTTCAAGATTGATATAGTTGTCCTAGCCTACCTCTTTCAGGTAATACATTCAATGCAGTAATAGCCTTATATTTAGCTAATTAATGATGGGTTATGCATAATAAGCTTCTAACTTATAGCCTCTGTCTCTTTTGCAATACGCACGCACCTGTGCTCCGCTGGCCTGTCCTTAAAAAAAACGCTCCTTAGCAAGAAGAGCGAATGAAGAAAGAAAGAAGAGTAAATGCGCGATGGTGGTAGGCTATAGCAGTCATTTATTCAGACCCGTAACCATTAAATCTTCGTGGAGAGAAGTGAAGTCCGTCTGCATCTAATTCTAGTCCTGTATTATTATATTATTCAGCATGTCATTACAATGATGAAGATGAGGACAATGAAACGTATTTCATGTAACTGTTAAAAGAGAGGAAGGAAGGAAACAACAGAGAGAGAAAAAGAGGCGGGCTAATAACATCAGGGGAAATGAGTCCGCCTACTAATTATACAAATAGGCCCTATTATATTTCAAAATCAAAATCAAATTCGCTAGCCTATACTTGTAACTTTGTAGGCCACATGTGCTGCACCAGAATCGCATGTTCTCGCCTTTATCATGATTTGAACGATGTGCGTAATTCCAGTCCATATAATACAGTATAATACAATACAGTACAGTAATACAGTTCACACTCAAAAAGATTAGCCTACTGGAGCTAGTTTCATTTATTTACCCAAGAGAGCATATAGCTAGCTACATCTAGGGGCTTTTATGTTTTTCTGTCGTGCATAATGTGCATTAGCCCTATATATCATATATGTATTGGATAACGGCACAATCATTTAGGCTTTTTTGGGCTTGGGCTCATAAAATGTATTTTAATGTAGGGTTTATAAAATGTCTTTAATGTATGGTTTATAAAATGTCTTTAATGTAGGGTTTATAAAATGTCTTTAATGTAGGGCTCATAAAATGTCTTTAATGTAGGGTTTATAAAATGTCTTTAATGTAGGGTTTATTAAATGTCTTTAATGTAGGGTTTATAAAATGTCTTTAATGTAGGGCTCATAAAATGTCTTTAATGTAGGGTTTATAAAATGTCTTTAATGTAGGGCTCATAAAATGTATTTAATGTAGGGTTTATAAAATGTCTTTAATGTAGGGTTTATTAAATGTCTTTAATGTAGGGTTTATTAAATGTCTTTAATGTAGGGCTCATAAAATGTCTTTAATGTAGGGTTTATAAAATGTCTTTAATGTATGGTTTATTAAATGTCTTTAATGTAGGGTTTATTAAATGTCTTTAATGTAGGGTTCATAAAATGTCTTTAATGTATGGTTTATAAAATGTATTTAATGTAGGGTTTATTACATTTCTTTAATGTTAGGGATTATTAAATGTCTTTAATGTAGGGTTTATTAAATGTCTTTAATATATGGCTCATCAGGCTCAGGTAGCATCAGGCTTGAATTTTCGATCAAATCTCTAATCAAATCGAGACATAGGCATATTTACAGCACATGCTTAATATGCTTTTGAATTACACTTCCGGTTTTGGCGGGAAATACCGAGTTACCCGGAAGAAAAGGGATTTATTCTCGGGATGGAACATTTGTAAAATTCAAACCTAGTCTGTCTGCTAATACTTTCCATATAGAGGACCAGAACGGGTCTGGTCCTCTATAACGCACCCACACCCACACGCACAGCACAGCACAGAGAGCAGACTGCTGCCTGAACATGGAGGTGAATAGTGTTGTGTTTCTTCCCTGTATTCCACTGAGGAGTCTGCTTGACTTGGGGCTGAGTTGCTGAGCTCATGTAAAGGTTGGTTTTTCCAGTCATTTTATGGGTGAACAGTTTTAAGTGGGCTTCTTCCCTGTGGTCTGAGGCACAGGTGCTGGCTGTGTCAATTGTTTACAGAAGTTCCGAGCGGCACGATGGCTCACAGAGCGGGCTAGAGGGGTAGAGGGGTAGAGGGGTAGAGGGGGGTGGTGTAGGGCTCTGGGCCGGGCGGGGAGCGGGCCTCGGTCGGCGGTGAAACGGGTAAATTAGATCCAGAGTGGGAATAGCAGGAGGCACAGAGCTGTTTTACTGCCCAACTCAGAACTCAGTCTGCAGGTGTGACAGGAGCCTTCTGACTGACCCCACCACCACACTATATAGTCACACACACACATACATACACACAGTCTTGTATAACTGACGTAGTGGGGACACACAATTCAGTCCCATTCAAAATCCTATTTTCCCTAACCCCTAGTTAAACACGTCCAGTACACACACACACACACACACACACACGCACGCACACACACACACACGCACGGCGCAACACGTAAAGGAAGTGTACGCACACATAACTTTGTACATGTGTATTTTGGTAGTGTGAAAATAGCAGAACAGTCTCCCTATTCATGGTCTCTGTTTTCTCCAAGGAGTCCTGTATTAAGCCTTGTTAAGGATCAGCTGTGTCACAGCCTCACAGAGACATGCTAGATACAGGAAGACTAACATTTAGCTTGGAGAATGAGGAAAAAGCATTAAAGGTTTATATGTTTGACTCAGAGTGACTGTTTAACAGTACTGGCCAGGAATGAATAATGCTATTGCTCCTGTGGTTAAGACAATTTATTGCTGTATATTTTCATATTTGATGGTCAACTCCCCTGCCTGTAATATTTTAACTTCTTTCTTACTTTGTTGAGTAATGAGCTCACCATGTATGTTGTTCCTCTGCAGCTTCTGCTGTTTACATGGTGAGCTGTTAGTAGAGTACTGGTAACGCTGCAGGATAGCTCCCCCAGAACCACTGACACCACACATGGAGAACTGCTCTCTCGCTCTCTCGCTCTCTCTCGCTCTCTCGCTCTCTCGCTCTCTCGCTCTCTCTCTCTCTCTCTCTCTCTCTCTCTCTCTCTCTCTCTCTCTCTCTCTCTCTCTCTCTCTCTCTCTCTCTCTCATTGACATCATATTGAAATGCATTTTGTGGTATTCTCCAATTCAATAATCATGAATCTGACCACCTGAACACCCCATTTATAACACTTACGTTTTTGGCAGTATGAGCTTTTGTTCTTCTTTGCATTCCTAGTCCAGGCAGCATTTCTAACTCGCTGTAACAGTAATAACTGGAGACAGTGGAAATATAATGTGAAATGTTAAGTGTACAAGTAGGGAGTATGAATGAGGGAGGAGGGAGAGTAGGGGAGAGTAGGGGAGAGGAGGGAGAGGAGGGAGAGGAGGGATCGGGGGGAGTAAGGAGTAGGCAGAGAGAGGAGGGAGGAGGGAGAGTAGGGGAGAGGAGGGATCGGGGGAGTAAGGAGTAGGCAGAGAGAGGAGGGAGAGTAGGGGAGAGGAGGGATCGGGGGAGTAAGGAGTAGGCAGAGGGAGAGGAGGGGAGAGGAGGGATCGGGGGAGTAAGGAGTAGGCAGAGGGAGGAGGGAGGAGGGAGAGTAGGGGAGAGGAGGGATCGGGGGAGTAAGGAGAGGCAGAGGGAGGAGGGAGCAGGGAGAGGAGGGAGGAGGGAGAGTAGGGGGAGAGGAGGGGATCGGGGAGGGGGAGTAAGGAGTAGGCAGAGGGAGGAGGAGCAGGGAGAGGGGAGGGAGGAGGGAGAGTAGGGGAGAGGAGGGATCGGGGGAGTAAGGAGTAGGCAGAGGGAGGAGGGAGCAGGGAGAGGAGGGAGGAGGGAGAGTAGGGGAGAGGAGGGATCGGGGGAGTAAGGAGTAGGCAGAGGGAGGAGGGAGCAGGGAGAGGAGGGAGGAGGGAGAGTAGGGGAGAGGAGGGATCGGGGGAGTAAGGAGTAGGCAGAGGGAGGAGGGAGCAGGGAGAGGAGGGAGCTAGTGTACGTATGTTTAAGAGAGCATGTAGTATCCAGAGTGGTGGTAATTTGTAGGAGGCGTATAGACAGCATAGTTCTGGTTGAACTGGACTCCACATCACAGGGAAGACGAGAGCTCTACTGAGCTCCATAAATTCACTGAAGATTTGTGGCTCTGCTCTGGTAGTGGACTGGAGCAACAATGTTTTCTTCTGGATATTTAGCTAATTTAACTGCTCATGTCCAAGGGATACACCGTGGCGGGAAATAACATGTCAGGCCCTGCGCTTATTTATGAGCCCACGCAGAGCGAAGAGTTTAGGGTTAGGGTTAGCGTCTGAGGAGGGGAGAGGTTAGGGTTAGAGTCTGAGGAGTGGAGAGGTTAGGGTTAGAGTCTGAGGAGTGGAGAGGTTAGGGTTAGAGTCTGAGGAGGGGAGAGGTTAGGGTTAGAGTCTGAGGAGTGGAGGGGGTTAGGGTTAGAGTCTGAGGAGTGGAGAGGTTAGGGTTAGAGTCTGAGGAGTGGAGAGGTTAGGGTTAGAGTCTGAGGAGGGGAGAGGTTAGGGTTAGAGTCTGAGGAGGGGAGAGGTTAGGGTTAGAGTCTGAGGAGTGGAGAGGTTAGGGTTAGAGTCTGTGAGGAGTGGAGAGGTTAGGGTTAGAGTCTGAGGAGTGGAGGGGTTAGGGTTAGAGTCTGTGAGGAGGGGTTAGGGTTAGAGTCTGAGGAGTGGAGGGGTTAGGGTTAGAGTCTGAGGAGGGGAGAGGTTAGGGTTAGTGTCTGTGAGGAGTGGAGGGGTTAGGGTTAGAGTCTGAGGAGTGGAGAGGTTAGGGTTAGAGTCTGTGAGGAGGGGAGAGGTTAGGGTTAGAGTCTGAGGAGGGGAGAGGTTAGGGTTAGAGTCTGAGGAGTGGAGAGGTTAGGGTTAGAGTCTGAGGAGTGGAGAGGTTAGGGTTAGAGTCTGTGAGGAGGGGAGAGGTTAGGGTTAGAGTCTGAGGAGGGGAGAGGTTAGGGTTAGAGTCTGAGGAGTGGAGAGGTTAGGGTTAGAGTCTGAGGAGTGGAGAGGTTAGGGTTAGAGTCTGAGGAGGGGAGAGGTTAGGGTTAGAGTCTGAGGAGTGGAGAGGTTAGGGTTAGAGTCTGTGAGGAATGGAGAGGTTAGGGTTAGAGTCTGTGAGGAGTGGAGAGATTAGAGTCTGTGAGGAGTGGAGAGGTTAGGATTAGAGTCTGTGAGGAGTGGAGAGGTTAGGATTAGAGTCTGTGAGGAGTGGAGAGGTTAGGGTTAGTCTGAGGAGTGGAGAGATTAGGGTTAGAGTCTGAGGAGTGGAGAGGTTAGGGTTAGAGTCTGAGGAGGGGAGAGGTTAGGGTTAGTGTCTGTGAGGAGTGGAGAGGTTAGGGTTAGAGTCTGAGGAGTGGAGAGGTTAGGGTTAGAGTCTGTGAGGAATGGAGAGGTTAGGGTTAGAGTCTGTGAGGAGTGGAGAGATTAGAGTCTGTGAGGAGTGGAGAGGTTAGGATTAGAGTCTGTGAGGAGTGGAGAGGTTAGGATTAGAGTCTGTGAGGAGTGGAGAGGTTAGGGTTAGTCTGAGGAGTGGAGAGATTAGGGTTAGAGTCTGAGGAGGGGAGAGGTTAGGGTTAGAGTCTGAGGAGTGGAGAGGTTAGGATTAGAGTCTGTGAGGAGTGGAGAGGTTAGGATTAGAGTCTGTGAGGAGTGGAGAGGTTAGGATTAGTGTCTGTGAGGAGTGGAGAGGTTAGGGTTAGAGTCTGAGGAGTGGAGAGGTTAGGGTTAGAGTCTGTGAGGAGTGGAGAGGTTAGGGTTAGAGTCTGAGGAGGGGAGAGGTTAGGGTTAGAGTCTGTGAGGAATGGAGAGGTTAGGATTAGAGTCTGTGAGGAGTGGAGAGGTTAGGGTTAGAGTCTGTGAGGAGTGGAGAGGTTAGGGTTAGAGTCTGTGAGGAGTGGAGAGGTTAGGGTTAGAGTCTGTGAGGAGTGGAGAGGTTAGGGTTAGAGTCTGTGAGGAGTGGAGAGGTTAGGGTTAGAGTCTGTGAGGAATGGAGAGGTTAGGATTAGAGTCTGTGAGGAGTGGAGAGGTTAGGGTTAGAGTCTGTGAGGAGTGGAGAGGTTAGGGTTAGAGTCTGTGAGGAGTGGAGAGGTTAGGGTTAGAGTCTGTGAGGAGTGGAGAGGTTAGGGTTAGAGTCTGTGAGGAGTGGAGAGGTTAGGGTTAGAGTCTGTGAGGAGTGGAGAGGTTAGGGTTAGAGTCTGAGGAGGGGAGAGGTTAGGATTAGTGTATGTGAGGAGTGGAGAGGTTAGGGTTAGAGTCTGAGGAGTGGAGAGGTTAGGGTTAGAGTCTGTGAGGAGTGGAGAGGTTAGGGTTAGAGTCTGTGAGGAGTGGAGAGGTTAGGGTTAGAGTCTGTGAGGAATGGAGAGGTTAGGATTAGAGTCTGTGAGGAGTGGAGAGGTTAGGGTTAGAGTCTGTGAGGAGTGGAGAGGTTAGGGTTAGAGTCTGTGAGGAGTGGAGAGGTTAGGGTTAGAGTCTGTGAGGAGTGGAGAGGTTAGGGTCTGTGAGGAGTGGAGAGGTTAGGGTTAGAAGTCTGTGAGGAGTGGAGAGGTTAGGGTTAGAGTCTGTGAGGAGTGGAGAGGTTAGGGTTAGAGTCTGAGGAGTGGAGAGGTTAGGGTTAGAGTCTGTGAGGAGTGGAGAGGTTAGGGTTAGAGTCTGTGAGGAGTGGAGAGGTTTAGGGTTAGAGTCTGAGGAGGGGAGAGGTTAGGGTTAGAGTCTGTGAGGAATGGAGAGGTTTGGATTAGTGTCTGTGAGGAGTGGAGAGGTTAGGGTTAGTGTCTGTGAGGAGTGGAGAGGTTAGGGTTAGAGTCTGTGAGGAATGGAGAGGTTAGGGTTAGTGTTCTGTGAGGAGTGGAGAGGTTAGGGTTAGAGTCTGTGAGGAGTGGAGAGGTTAGGGTTAGAGTCTGTGAGGAGTGGAGAGGTTAGGGTTAGTGTCTGTGAGGAGTGGAGAGGTTAGGGTTAGAGTCTGTGAGGAATGGAGAGGTTAGGGTTAGTGTCTGTGAGGAATGGAGAGGTTAGGGTTAGTGTCTGTGAGGAGGGGAGAGGTTAGGGTTAGTGTCTGTGAGGAGTGGAGAGGTTAGGGTTAGTGTCTGTGAGGAATGGAGAGGTTAGGGTTAGTGTCTGTGAGGAATGGAGAGGTTAGGGTTAGTGTCTGTGAGGAATGGAGAGGTTAGGGTTAGTGTCTGTGAGGAGTGGAGAGGTTAGGGTTAGTGTCTGTGAGGAATGGAGAGGTTAGGGTTAGTGTCTGTGAGGAATGGAGAGGTTAGGGTTAGTGTCTGTGAGGAGGGGTTAGGGTTAGCTCTCAGGGAATGCTGCTTTAAGGAATCTCTGAATTACACTAGTCTCTGTTTCACTGGGTATTAACACTGAATGTGTGTCTGTGCGTCTCTCCCCTCCAGGCTACGTCCAGAGTCTGATCCGTCGGGTGGTGAACAACGTCAACATCGTGGTCAACAACCTGATCCTGAAGTATGTAGAGGATGACATCGTTCTGTCTGTCAACATCACCTCTGCTGAGTGTTACACGGTCCATGAGTTCTGGGACCGAGCCTTCATGGACATCACAGGTGAGCTGTCTGCACTACGACACGGCGGCAGGTAGCTTAGTGGTTAAGAGCGTTGTGCCAGTAACCGAAAGGTCGCTGGTTCTAATCCCCGAGCCGACTAGGTGAAAAATCTGTCGATGTGCCCTTGAGCAAGGCACTTAACCCTAATTGCTCCTGTAAGTCGCTCTGAATAACAGCGTCTGCTAAAATGACTAAAATGTAAAAACAACACACACACCTTGTGACCAGGGCTCTAGTAGTGCACTATATAGGGGCCCATTTGGGACGCAGCCCAGTTGGTAGAACACAGGTGAGCTGTGGGTACCTAAACCAGTGGTTTCCATGACGTGTGGGTCGGGACAGGGAAGCAGGTGTGTCTGGGGGTTTTTTTAATTACAAGGGCCGGGGCTTTTTTTTTTTGAAGAACAAACACAGCTTTTTGTTTTTGGACCTTTTTTAAGTGGATTTCAACCAGGGCAAAGGGGACTGTTTTAATTTTAATTAAAAAAACATAAATTTTCCCTTAAAACCCTTAAACCCACCCCCTTTAGTTTAGAACAATTTTCCCCCTTTTAAATGCTCTGGTACTTAAGAGACAAAAGGGGCTCGGAAGTCTTCTCTCTTGGCTGGGGGTTTTAAGGGGAACCCGAGGGTAATGGGGAAATTTTCTGCAAGGGCTTGGAAATCTAAATTTTTTAGCTTTTGTTTT